CATGACCCCAGATGCCCTTGAAGATCCTTTCATGATACCTTTCTGGGAAGAGATGTTTCAATGCAGCCTGGGTTTGCAGACTGAAGGTCAAGAGCATAATGTTGAGGGTAAACCTCCATGCTCTGGAGCAGAAGAGCTGGGGAATGTGACGAATATCTACTCAGATGTGTCACAACTAAGGATTTCCTACAATGTGTATAAAGCTGTGTACGCCATTGCCCATGCACTCAAGGCTATGAGAAGCTGTGTGAAAGAAAAAGGGCCATTTCCTCTCCATGCTTGTCCAGATGCAGACAATATACAGCCATGGCAGGTATCGTCCCATATGTTCTCTAATTCAGTCTAGATTAACAAAGGTTACAGAGTTGAAACATTATTCATAGATTTCAGTGATTCTACAAGATGATCATTAGCACTTTCTTCCCATAGCTGCTTCATTACATAAAACAGGTGGGATACTTGAACTCATTCGGTGATGAAATCAAGTTTGATCAGAATGGCGACCCTGCAGCCATGTATGACCTGGTTAACTGGCAGCTGAGTCCAAATGGAAAAATGGAGTTTGCCACTATTGGAAAGTTCGATGAGACAGCTGGAAGACAAAAACTCCATATCCAGGAACACAACATTGTATGGAATGGCAACCAAACCAAAGTATGGATCTAGTATAGAATAAAACAATGTTTTGTGAAAAGAATTTTGTGCAATATCATTTTCATTATGTGACTGTGTTGTGACCAGCGTAGTATGTGCTTCCCCCCCTGCTTAGGTTCCCTTGTCAGTATGCAGCAGCATTTGTCCCTCAGGTACCCGGAAGGCAATCAGACCTAACTTCCCTATCTGCTGCCATGATTGTGTGGTTTGTACAGCTGGGGAGATTAGCAATCAGACTGGTGAGGAAATACTACATGCCCACACTGCGTTTTAGAATCTGACCTATTGTACAGTTGCAGTGGAAAAGCCACAGTAGAGCAGCTAAAGCTTTCTTTTTTTTCCTTCAGATGCCATAGAGTGTGTGCGCTGCCTTCCAGAGTTCTGGTCCAGTGCTGACAGGACAGCCTGTATCCCCAAAGAGGTGGAGTTCCTCTCCTTTAGTGACACTATGGGTATCACCCTGATGGCTATTTCCCTTATTGGCTCCTTCTGCACCTGCGTTGTGGTCTTCATATTCTCCTGTCACAGAAACACCCCAATTGTCAGGGCCAACAACTCAGAGTTGAGCTTCTTGCTGCTCTTCTCCCTGACTCTGTGTTTTCTGTGTTCTCTAACCTTCATTGGTCGGCCTTCTCAGTGGTCCTGCATGCTGCGACACACAGCATTTGGAATCACCTTTGTCCTCTGTGTCTCCTGTATTCTGGAGAAAACTATAGTGGTGCTGATGGCCTTCAAGGCTACACTTCCAGGCATAAATGTCATGAAATGGTTTGGGCCTAAGCAGCAAAAAGCAATCATTATCTGCTGTACACTTGTCCAGGTAAGGACTTCTAACTCTTTATGCACTTTGAAAAGTTAGAGAAGTACTTATTCAAATGTTTGAAAAAAGACATATTTCTTTTTATTCAGGTAATCATTTGTACAGTGTGGCTGCTTGTTGCTCCCCCTTCTCCACACCAATTCATGCCACGTGAGAGCGCAATTGTCATTCTCCTGTGTGATGAAGGTTCACCCGTAGCTTTTGCTCTCGTTCTGGGCTACATTGGCCTGCTGGCCTGTCTCTGCCTTGTGCTGGCCTTCCTGGCAAGGAAACTCCCGGACAACTTCAACGAGGCCAGACTTATCACCTTCAGTATGCTCATTTTTTGCGCCGTGTGGGTAGCTTTTGTTCCAGCCTACATCAGCTCTCCAGGGAAGTACTCCACAGTCACAGAGGTGTTTGCTATCTTGGCCTCAAGTTATGGACTGCTGGGCTGCATCTTTGCACCAAAGTGCTACATAATCCTACTAAGGCCAGAAAAAAACACAAGGAAACACTTGATGTCCAAAGTTGCCACCGACAAATTTTAGAATATTTCCCATTTCATGTACTTCTTCTTCTTGCTCTTTTCTAGTTGAATAAAAAAACTCACTTCAATTCAAAGTGTTGACAAAAAGTAAGAAAGTTTGCAAGTGGTAGCAGAGACAAGGTATATGAAACTGGTTTCACTTTACCACCAGATGGTAGTAGTGTGCTGTCAGTGCTCCCTTCTGTACAATATGTCCCAGGAAATGCACAACCATGCTGTCACACACCTTTATTTGCACCAGTTACTTTCCCCAATGTCTTCATTTCATTTATTTTATTAATTTTCACTCCCATTTAATTACAAAACTTACTTCTGGTGTAATTAAAGAACTACTTTTACTTTAACTCCTCCACCCCACCGATGAATTGAAGACTTCAATCATGGTCACAGTCCAGAGTTTACAAAAAATCATGGAAAACCATACTTTTCTCGGATCAAGTGTGTTTTTTATTTTTCAAACTACATGACACTACTTTGATACCCTCAGTGGAAATTTGAATGACAGCTCAGTGTGAGATCTGAATGGGATTTGGCAGCAGTGTCCATGCTGATTTGACCTGAGATAGAGTGATGAGGCCCAGGGTCTCTGAGGTATGCTTTGTTGAAATCCCTGCTGTCATTGGTTAATTAAATCCTCGTACTCCAGAGGCCCTTTACATATAAGCATCACGCCTGGCTGTTCCCTACAATAACAAACTAAAACGTCAGACATTTTTCAGGCTCTCCACAGCTGCTCTCAGGCTAGCATTGATTATCCACCGCTGATTGATCTGTTGTTCCTCCTCAGGCAGAGGAATAAATTGGAAGATGGAGAGATGTCGGGTCTCTGACGTCTAACAGGGACAGGCAGGGGAAAAGGTGTTGGGAGGAGCAGAGTGCTTTACTGACACCGCATTACTCCATTTACATTTATTATAAGACAGTATATGAGGGAGTGGATTGATTTCCCCTCATAGTGCACAGTCTCTGCTTCATCTCAAAGAATGATCCTTCACATCATCACACTATATGCTTGATTGAATTTAGGAAACCAGAACAGATCATCTTCATTTGAGGGTTAAATAATTAATTTCTTTTGAATGAGAAAACACTGTGCAATTATTTCTTCGATAAAATGAATGGTCCATCAAATTACAGGCACATAGACATAAAAAGAAGCGTGTCATGGCTGTGAAAAATATATTAACAGAGTAAGTGAGTGTAGAGAATATGTCCAGAATTCATAGAAATCCAGTCCTATGAATACTGACAAAGGATATGTTGAGACATGACGACATAGAGATAAACACAGGAGGGAAGCTGAATGATATAATAAGGGCATGACTTCTACTTGCTCACAGCAATTGACTCTATCTCATCATCAGTAATTTTTTTTTTAGACAAACGCTGACCAGCTGTTTTCTTTTAATGATAAAAGCCGTGCCCCCAACAGAGGTTAGAGAAGTAATCTAAAGTACTGTGTCATGAATATACAGTTGTGATATGATATCTTGGGCTGTAAGGAAGTGTTAGCAGTGATTAGGGTAGGAGTGGATAAGATAAGATAAACACAGTACAGTATAATTCTGCAGCCCTGGAGTAAATATCTTTTTGGTGCAGCCTGTAATTTTGGTTTGTTTTGACAAAGTCAGAAGTGTTGCTTTATCATAATAGTCTGTTTTGAGAAACTAGTCGGGAGAGCTGCTAAGCAAATATTCTGTTAAGTGTTTCCCAGTTGGCGCTGTTGACAATCCATTTGTGACTTCTACTTGACAACTATACTACTTGAGACTTTTCCTCCCACTTAATGTTGAAGTGTCTGCCAGTAACACCAGCAAGTCACAATCACAAAAGCTGCAATTAGCATTATGTGTCAGGTTCGCTCTGACAAGCAGTTATTTTTGTGAGTTTTCAAGGCAAAAAGCAGTAAAGAGAGATCAGAAATCTCTTGCCAGGTCTCAAAAAGTATGATAAAATATGCAAAATCAATTAATCAATCAAACAAACTTTCCCTGCCAGTTATTGAAGTTCAAAGTGCATCACAGATGACTGACAAGGCACAAATTAAGCCCTTACCAACATTTGGAAAAATACAAGTGACCAGGTATTTGTAAAAATATTTAAGAAACACAAACTGCTCAAAATATTGCCAGAAAGTTGAACGAATAACTGCATCATTTAGTGCCGTTGTTGTGCATTTTATTGTGTGGTTCAGTGTCACTGTTATCTTCTCCACCTTTTTATAACTCCACCAGCGTAAGCGATAGCATTATCAGAGGACATGATGTAGCATGACAGAAGGGTTTTAAAGGAGTAGGAGTAGTGTGCATATCAGTTCTTTACATAATCATTGAATATGGTTACAGAGCTGAGTAAATGATATGCATCTTGCTTACATTTACACTATGACGTATATAATACTCTTTTCAAGATGGTGATGTCTCTTTCATAATAATCCTGGCATTCTGTCAAATCTTTTCAGGTAGCTTTTACTCCAACTTTCTTTATGCAGTCAGAGCCATTGTCACAGAGGAGATGGGCACCATAGAAACTGCACTGGAAACGAATGGTCTCTGTCATAATAGAGCCTTTGCCTACATTATGAAGGCTAGTGAATGATGAGAAGGTCTCAAAAATCTGTGAAGCTGTACTGATAATGGATTTTTTTTTTGAGTCACTGTGCTAATTAGGAACAAGATCCATGTTTGGGTCTTCTAAAATGGGAGAACAGAGAAGAAATGTGTTGACAGTATGCAGTTGAGAGACAGCAATACAACATTTCTCACCCTGCATAATATGTGTAAGAGCATCTGATGAGTAAAAGTCTGTGATGGGTTGTCAGGGTGGCACCACACTAACTCATGAGCTAACAGTATGATGAAATGTTTATTTCCATTTATTTAGGCATACACATGCGGATATATCGGATATATCTTAGATCATGTTAAGTACAGACAACATGAGCACAAAGTGACAGCAATTTCATTTCAATTTCAATTTATTCATTGCTCTATTGACCTATCTGGCCATCATGCATTTTTTGGTGTTTTTCTCAGGCCTCAGAAGGATAATAAAACATTTTGGGGCAAAGATGCAGAACAGAAGGCCATAACTTGAGGCCAGGATGGCAAAAATCTCCACTGCAACAGTGTACTTCCCAGGAGAGGTAATGTAGGCAGGTACAAAGGCCACCCAGACAGCACAGAAGATCAGCATGCTGAAGGTGATCAGTTTGGCCTCATTGAAGTTGTCAGGGAGTTTCCTTGCTAGGAAAGCAAGGATTAGGCAAACAAAGGCCAGCAGGCCAATGTAACCCAGAGCAAGTGAGAAGCCCACCACAGATCCCGTAGCGCATTCAAGAATGATCTTGGGTCCCCAGATGTCCATGATGTCTCTTTCTGCAGGCTGAGGAGGAGACAGGGTCAGCCACAGCACACAAATCAGCACCTGGAAAAGTGAGGTTGGCTCAGAAAATGGACAGGAATATATAAACTGCTGCAGACATCATACTGGGAAATGCAAATCATGAAAAGAAAGCAGTTTTGAACCTGCAAGACCTTGAACAAGTAACTGAATCTCAAACTGACCCAGTCCTTATACAGAGGTGTGAAAAACAGGATATCATACAAGAATCTCTACAGGACTTAATAACATTGGAACTGAAATAAGTTAAAGACACAATCACCTGTACAAGGGTGCAGATGGAGATGCCCAACCTCTGCTGAGCAGGACCAACATAGCGCATTCGGTTTTTCCCCGGCAGTGTGGAACGAAAAGCCACCAGGACCACCACAGTGCGGCTCAGCAGGCAGGAGATACACGACACAAAGCTGATTCCGAGCAGTGTATGTCTCAACATACATGACCAAGTCACAGGCTGTCCAATGAAAGCAAGCGCACATAAGAAGCACAACTTGAGGGACAGCAAGAGCATGAAGCTCACCTCGGAGTTGTTGGCTCGCACCTTAAAGCAGGGGAGGGATTTTGAAGTAAGGAGACACAGGGAGAGATTACAGCATTATATATACAGTATTATATTTGGTTTTTAAGAAACTGCAGTATAAATGCAATTAATATTATTCTGTAAGCCTGATTAAACTACAGTTTAATACTGTCTAAACTGCCATTCAGCATCATAATCCAGGATGCTGTTATACTTTACCAGTGGTGTTTGTCGGTGGTAAAGGAAGGTGGCAAATGTGGCAGCTGTCAGTGCTGCCCCAGCACCTGACACGATGGAGAGGACGACTCCCATGGTGTCATTGTAAGAAAGGAAATCCACCTGCTGGGGAATGCAGGCTGTGTGGTTTGAGTTGGACCAGAAACGCTCTGGACAGCGAATGCACTCCAGTGACCCTACGAAGAGGCAAAGGGAGAGAGATTGCATGAGAGAGGGAGGAAGCAGATGTTTTTACTCTTTACTCCTTATGTTAAATAATGTACAGCAGAGTTAAAACCTTATGCTTATGACCTTCTCTCATAAAATATAGAGAGAAGTGGACAGTACCAGCCACAAGCAGAGATTTGGACATTTCTGTCTTGTCTTGTTAAAGACTTACAAATACAGTCAAGACAAGACAAGAGCAGTTTAAAAAATTCTATGCACACTTTCCTCAAAAGTCTGTTTGATTTCCCATACAACACAGAATCCTTAAATAAGCCATGGATATAGTTTTTAAAGCCTTTAATTATTACTGAGGAGTATAAACAGTATTAAGAGGCTTCAATTTGGTCTTAGTTTGTTCTGGTTTTAATACATTAAAATACCTATTATGTGCAAAAGCCATCTTAATCATAATATGATAAATTTAAGGGGTTTTGAATTGTAAAATTGAATTAATCTCTGTTGCCAGTCGTGAATGTCAAGAAAATTTAAGAAAAAAATACCACAGCCGCCACAGAGTTGTTAGAAAAGACTTGGTATACAATGGTTGGTCACATATTATTTATGTATAATCATTATTCTGGAAGCGATTGCTTACATGCATTGGAATAAAAGCACCAGTTATTAATATGCATTTATTCAAACAAATAAAATGAACCTTCAAAACTACCTGCTTTGCTGCTAATTTCACCCCCAGCACAAGGCAGACAGTCAAAACAGCATACAGGTCTCCCTTTCTGCAAAGCTTTCCTCATACCAGCAGGACAAGGACTGCTGCACATAGTCACAGGCACCTAGGAGCAGGCACATACTGATATATCAAAAGCAGAGACACTCGCAAAATGGGTTTCTGGGTAACTAAAAGAGAGACTTATGATGACAAATAGCGCTAAAAATAGACACCTGATGTCTGCTGCCTCCTCCCCACACCACTCTGTCCATGTCAATGTGAAGATCTGACCCCTGAGAGGACACAAAATGACCAACGGTGACATACTCTATTGTCCCTTGAGCTGTCACATGCCAGTTGATGATATCGTATGAAGCAGGCGGGTCTCCGCTCTCGTCAAAGTTCATCCATTCCTTCAAAGGTGTTGTAAAGTTCACTTCTCGCAGGTAATGGGCTATCTGAGAGAGAAAAAATTGTTTCACATCACATATTCTGAAATTGATAACATTTGTGGCATCTGGATCGTAGAATTTCATTTACTTGTACAGGCTGCAGCCTCCAGACATCGGGACACTGGCCTTCTAGGAAGGGACCTTTTCCAGATTCACAGGCCAGCATATTGTTTATTGCATAAGCGATAGCATACACAGCCTTATAGACATTATAAGTGATTCTTAGCTGAGCCACATCTGTGTACAAAGACTCCCCAATGCCTAGAAGAGACTCACCACAGACAATAGATAAGCAAATGAATAAATACTTCAATATTTCAATGTAAAAGACACAGATATTGCAAGTGAAGTTAAAAATTGAAGAAAATTTTTTGATTTTGTTCACCTATGATCTCTGAGCCTGTGCACAATGTCCTTCCCAGGCCAGGGCTAAAAGAGCATCCAAACACTGTTTCCCAGAGTTCCTTTGTGAAAGGGTCAGAAGTCAGGCTGGGATTAATGCGTGCCAGAAAGGCTCCCAGTCCAGGGATATCAATCCTCCGTACAGCAAATCCTATTGTCCCAGCCAATGTGGGAATATTATGAGGAGATGAGATAGGCCCATATGTAACCCAAGCATCATTAGCAATCCACTGCTTATCTGTTACATTGTTGTAGACCACTTCTTCAAACAAAGCCTGAGGAAGAGATAAGAAACAGAGGTGTATCATGCACCAGAGTGGGCACGTCTAGTCTTCATAATATGTGTATGTCTGAAAATTACAGCTTAAAGCTTTAATAGGTAAATAACCTTTGCATCTTGATCAATAAGAAATGTTGCCACAACTCTGGCAGTGGATTTCTGGATGGTTTCAACAATCCTTTGCATTGTCATCTTTGAATATCCCTTGGAATGAAAAAGAGAGGTATTAAGAATGACAGAGAGAACTGCACATGGTAAGAAAGAGAGGGGATATGTAATATCAATTTGAAAATACCCTTGGAATCACTTCATGGTAGGCAACGCACACTTCCGTTCCCCTGAGGGCATCCAGTAACATCTGAATCCCAGATCTGCCAAAATCATCATCCGCAGACACAAGCCCCACCCAGGTCCACCCCATCACGCGCAGCAGCTCAGCCATGGCCCACGCTTGTGCAGCATCGCTGGGCATTGTGCGGAAGAACAGCGGATACCTCCTCTTATCACTCAAGCACACACAGGAGGCTGCATAGCTCACCTGAAGAAGAATAAAAGGGTTGTTACACAGTTAAAGGAGACAGAAAGATAGTAAATAAAGCAAGTGATAGTGAGTATGAAAAACAGAAGTAGACAGATAAGTTGACTCATAAAGAAGTCCCAGAAGAGAAACTTCATCCTCTGCATTTGACCCATCTTGACTACGTAGGAGCAGAGAGCAGCTACAGTGCCCGAGAATCAGCTCCAGTTTTTTAGGCTGGTGCTTTTGTCAATTGCCAAAAAATATATACTACCTAACAGGAGCAGCAAACGGAAACCCTCATTAACTCACAGAGAACACAAACACAAATGTGAAAGACAAGAAGAGAGACATATGATACTGTAACACAGTATTACATGCAACTAAATACAAAACTAACAAGCACATGAATCATCATTATGTTTGCAGCACATCACGTCTCCTCACCATGGGTAGATCAAACACCCCAAGGGTGTTTGCCACAACAATGGAGGATGAAGTGAATGTATCACCAACAATAACTGGCACTGCAGGCACAGATCCACATCCCGAGTTCCCCAGATGAACTTCCTGTCCAGTTACCATAGCCATGGCTGATAACAGAGTGGTGCTCTCTGCCAGGCAGGTATCAGCTGCCAGATAGCCGAGGGTGAAGTTCGGCAGGAGATTTGAGTTATTGTTAATTTCCTCCACTGCAAAGACCATGACCTGAAGCCAGCGATAAGCACGCTGGTTAAAACTGCACACAGGAAAAAAAAATAACCAGAAAGATGAACATCAGAAATCAAGACATATGATATGTAAAAATCGAATTAGTTCAGCTAAACATAAAAAGAAAATATTCAGTTCTTCAAAATCTTACATTTCACAGGGAGCATTAACCTTCTCGTGCCGAAAATCCAACTCAGGCTGTGGTGCCTTCAGATGAACAGGGAACAGGCCCCCGATCACTACGTCTCCTGCCTTGTACACACTACCTGGGATAGACTCTACCATCAGCTGACAGGGCTGCCCTCCATAAATGCCCTGGATCATCCCAGTAAGGCAGCAGAGGAGCAGAGTATAGATATACATCACCTGGAAGAAAGGAGTGCAGGGAGGCAAATAAAATGAAGGACAATGTATAAACAGCATTGATTAGTTAACACACAACATAAATACAGCTTGATAAAAGTGATGAATGTATAACAAGAGCCTGTGGAGAGGATTTGTGATCTTTCAATTCCTGTTGATGAAACAGAGAGCAAACCAACAACTGTGTACATATTGTTTAACATATTTTGCAAATAAGTGCCATAGTCAGTTTTATGCTCAAAACACAAACTCATACCTCGACGCAGAGACACAGACGAATACAAACTATGAGCAACTCTGAGCGACAGTGGTTTGAGGGTCATTTCTTGCCACGCCAAAGGAGGGAAGACGGAGACGATGCATCTGATATACAGAAATCACGGCCACCAGGGAGGGGAATCAGGTTCTATCTTTGCAGGAGGATAAAATTACTTTGTTATTGAAGGGCGAGAACATGAGGTACAGCGATTTGGAATTAATACAGTAATGGAGGAAAACCCAAGTGTTTCACTCAGATCGCCAGGGATAGCTGCTTCAAAATAGATGATGCAATGTAATTTCTCTTATCTTTATATGAGACACTGTGGTTCGTGGTATAAACAACTGCTTTTCTCTCATTACTGCATTTATTTTGAAAGATTATATAAAAAAAATAAAACACGAGTACATTTTGGATTTTTTGATGGTCACGACATTCTTCCGTGATTGCAGGGGTTGGGCAATTCAATGTAATCCTACGATTCATTCGACCCCCTATCTCTCAGATCTCACCATACTGATGATGGGCTGTATGTGGGCATGTGAGGGTTCTTGATGTACAATTAGCAGGAGGAATAGATTAGAGAGGCCTATTAAAGATGAGAAGGGTTAGACGGAGAGAGCTGTCATTTTCAGGATCAGGCCCTCTCTGTGACAAGTGCTCATCCAATTACACCACGAGTGTCCTCTCTTTTTCGTTCTCTCTCTCCCTTCCTGCCACTCTTGCTGCTCTCCACTCTCTAGACCAGCTGATCTCTCTCTTCCTCTGCTCTTCTCCTTCAGCCTTTGTTGGTGCTTAAAGAGTCTGCAGTAATTACTGCTCCTCTCATCCTGACTGCCCTCTTCATTGCCATTAAAGAATTTGTTTTGGAAATATACTTTCTATACAATTTGGGGAAGCAATTTATTTGCTTTCTTATTGAGAGTTAAATGAGAACATTGTTAACACATATGTACATGTTCTTGAAGTTGGAGTCAAAAGCTGGTAAGCTAATCTTAGCACGAAGACTGGAAACAAGGGGAAACAGCTAGCCTGGGAATGACAAGTTGTGGTTTTATGGGTAACTGAAACTTGTTTTTAGACTTTGGTTTTTGCACAGATAACACAAGTGTGCTTTTAGTGTGCTTGAGAGGTGCTCGTAGGTGGATTTTATTACTGCTGAACAGAGTTGGTTTGGTGATTCTCTCAGTTTGCAGTCTGTGCTAAGCTAACTGGCTGCTGGCGGTAATGACCTATGAGTGTGGTATGAATGCTCTCATCTCACTCTCAGCAAGAAAGCAAATAATCATATTTCTCAGTACCTCTAACAATTCCTGTAAAGCTTATGCTTGGTTTCCTTCAGCTACTAAACAATGCCTAGGTCTCCTTCCAGTGTTTACAATTCCCAGAGCCTGACTGAAAACGAAGGGAGACCGAACATGATGAACTTTGGAATAATTTACCCCGTTATATGCAATTGTTTTTCTGAGTTTCTGTATTATTTATCTGTTTATGTCTGTATGTGTTTATGTATTTATTCATTTCCCCTGAGCACTTTGTAACTTTTGCTGAAAATAAACCTTTAGTTACTTATCTACTTACTACAAAACTCAAATGTTGATGCACCAATTCACACAAGATGCCCTCATAAATGAATACTGTTCACTAAAATGAAGTCCGCTGTACCTCTGAAATTGACCCAAATGATCTATTGAGCTAAATGAAAAAAACGCAGATTACACTCTAGAGACAAAGTTGCCAGCCCCAGCTGCAGCTGTTCCCTTAGGGGGATACAGGAAGAAGTGCTCTGGGTCCATCACAGCTGGGGCCAGGTCCATAGAGAAAAGTATGTGATGGGAATGCCCTCACCTCCAAAAGATGAGGGAGCAATTTAAGTTTCTGTCAGTAATATAATGCTTTTTGTGAATGCCGAGGACAGCGGAACAGGCTAAAGATAGATGGGACCGTTGACGGGCTAAGAATGGATTTAATTCCAAGTCCACCAGATTTGTTCCACCTTGCCCTGCCAGATGCCAACGTCAACTCTTCACAGCACGGAGCCTGGCATTGCACCCATCACAACAAAAAGATTAAAGCGCAGATAGGTGCCATGAACAAGAGAGGTAGGAAACCCACATTCTGAAGAGTTGAATGTAATAAATCTTTCCGCACCCTCCCAACACTTTGTTATTGTTTCTATATTTATCTTTCTAGTTGTGCATCCAACAACTTCATCCCACAAACTCTTCCCTGCTCTGCTGATGGTTGGATGGATCGTCGGCTGCACTGCAGTTGTCTACTTTGTCTTCATTTTTGCTTGGGTACATGATTCCATCTTTAAAGTATGTGGAAATGCATGTGTATATACATGTGTCAGTGTATGAGCAATACAGTAGGTGCTTCTCTGTGTATGCCTGAATGGATGAATGACTTTGAAGAAAAAACACTCCTAAAGAAATTTGAATGTATTTTTAGCCCCGCTAGTGGGGTGCCTCTGGGGATGGCAATGGATGTTGGTCTGTCAGTCAGACAGCGAGTCCACCTCTTTGATCCAGATTGAAATATCTCAGCAACTACTGAATAGATTGTCATGGAACGTTGTGTAGAGATTTATGTTTGTCAGAGTATGAATTCAGGATCCCCTGACTTTCCCTCTAGCACCACAATGAGATGGATATTTGTGGTTTTGAGTGATGTTTTGGATGGATTGTCATGAAACCTGGTATAGACATTCATGTATCCCTCAGAATGAATTATAATACTTTTCATGATCTGCTTTTAATTCAAACAAGGTGGGGGGGGGCAGAGTACCTCCAATGTCAGACCACTTTAATTTTATAGAGGTGCATGTATGTGCATTCCACTTTGATTTGCATCCTTCATTTAGTCAGTGAACCGTAAGCGTGTAAAAAAAAAAAAAAAAAAGAAAAGAAAAAGCCACTAAATACTGTTCATCTGTTCATCTTTCAAAATTTACCTGGCAGGCTGCCTGTGTGTTTGTTCTGCAAATAGATTTTTATTTTTTCTTTGACAGAAAAGAGGTGTGCAAGGAAGAAACTGAATTCATCACAGAAATGAAAGGAATGAAGGGAAGAGAAGATCATCTCTATATTTTGATATTCTTTTTCTTTTGGATACATACAGTAGCTATTTTGGCAGACGTGTGGAAATGCAGGAATAAAGGTGAGCGACGGATTGCAGCTGAACCCTGCCACGGTCTAGAGGTAAAATTTGCTTTGACACGAGTAGGCTTATCGTGTGTTCTGTTATAAATGAATCCAATAAACATATTTCTGTGGTGGACTGTCTCTACATATCTCTGATTGAAAACCATTAACTCTACAATCAAATACACCCAGTTTTTTGTGTGTGTGTGTTTGCACATCTGTGTCCTCTGTGAATTCATGTCACACAGCTGGGCATCAAAAATATTGGGTGCTAGGACTGGCAATGTCGTTGCCATGGCTACCACAAGTCTGTCTTTTTTTTTTATTTTGAGTAGTCCCACACTCTCATAGGATGTGAACAGAAAAACAATGGAAAGAAAATTGGTCAGGGAGCTGCACTTTCTCGAACATTTTTAATTGTAATGTGCAGAGATGACCTTGGGGAATGTTTTGCTAATTTGTTTTATCAAACATAAGCATTTGATGAACTGGTTAACTTTTGGCACACTACTGAACTCAAGATGAAAGCTGAATTAAGCACAACCTCAAATATTTCATCCAGTATTTGGATTTCAGCTAGAAGCTATCAAACAACTCCTGTTTGCCCGACATGTTAGCTCATAAGCTGCCATTACAACTGAGCCCCCAAATCTGTAATAGTAGCGCTGTCAGCTAAAGAGCATTTTGAAGTCTGCGTTTAATAACAGGGAATTAGATTGTCTGGTTGTTACTGCAGGTCGCGCCACATCCACTTTCCAGTAAGCACAAGGTGTAAGCCTTGTAGGCCCGCACAGGCTAAATAAGCCTATAGACTTGGTGTCATGTTGAACATGTGCACCAGATGTAAACATCTGTCCGACAGGGTAATGAGCTAGTGATGGAAACTCTCTGTACCACAGCAACGCATTAGGGTTAGCAGAAACACACGCCAGATGCATAAACTCTTGCACACACATGTTCATGCAGGAAAATGACATAACACACACCGTCACTCATACACATGCACATACAGCACAAGCGTGTATTAAACACACACACAACTTTATAGCAATTCCGTAGCATCATCTTGTTTGCAACTAGTACTATGATTATGTGTTGTTAGCATGCCCAATCTGTTTACTTCGATAACAGCAGAACACCGCCACTCATCAAGAGACACACACCCCTTCCAACTCGCACAGCCAACTTCAGTTTGGCATTTCTGTCCTCAAATGGATCATTATGCAAGTACACCACATGGTGCTGTGTAAAGTGGTCTGCCAGGTGTGATACATTAACGCTGTGTGTCTACTATTTAGATTGCATGTTTATTTGGTGAAAATATGGAAAATGCGTGATTGGGACCAAAAATTGACAGATGTTCCATCCTAAAATGAGACTAATGCTTGTCACAAAATGTCTAAACCATGCTGAACAACAACAAAGTTAATAGTAGATGTAATAGTAAATTTAATCTGTGCACAGTTACAGCTTGTTAAATAGTTTTAATAGGGAATATTTAATTGAATGCGTGCTGTAAAAAATACATTTTTTTCTAATAGTTGTAGCAATATAATAGCAGTAACATGATTAGCAGTACCAGCAGTGGTGTTTTTAGGCATAGCCCAGGAACAACCTGGCCTAAGGCAGGTTGTTTCAAAGCCCAGGGGTGTTGAGGCTATAGCCAGATCTCATTTGGTCTTAAACAGTTTTTTTGGGACCACAAAAAGGGCCTTGCATGTGAATCTGATGCTGTTCACTGACTCATAGGGAATCCACAAGTTTTTTATAATAGCTTTAGGCCAGGTCCAGCTGTGCTTTAAAAGAAATCAATAAAACCTTAAAATAAATTCAGATACTGAAAGCCAATTGGAGTAAGGTGATCTTGTGTAAGTACAGAGCTGCTACATTTTGAACAAGCTAAAGATGTGAAAGCATCAAGTTGATGTGAGCGTTAAAAGTAGTCCAGACTTGTAGAGATTAAAGTACAAGTAACTTTCTTCAGATGATTGATTTTGAGAAAAAACATTGCATGGCTGTCTTTAAAAAGCTGAATTCTACCAAACATCTGACAGTTTATACCTCTATGATATACTTGCCATTTGAGTGTAAATGGGTATCATGATGCAAGAAACTACTGAGCTACTATGCTTTACTACTGGATTATTTGTCCCAATGAAACCATCCAAATGCAAGCAAAAGTAAAAGGAAGCCAGTAACAAAGAGAGGCCCCACAGAGTACTGCATGTCAAAAAAGAAGTGACATTTCCCATCGTGACAGAAAATGTGTTATATCAGCTGAACCAATTAAGTGCTGCGACCTTCATGCCAGTCTTGAACTTGAAGCAGTTAATTAGAATCGCATGGTCTACAGTGTCACGGACTGCGCTGAGATGTAAAAGTAATGAAACTGATCTTTCATCTGTCTGCTGCTAAAAGAGGATCAATTGTTACTTTAATGACAGCCGTCTCTGTAAGACGGCTGTCATCAAGACCGGGTTTTCCAGATAAATGTTGTTTTGATTCATTAAAACTATTTTCTGGCTTGAAACTAGTTCTCAAATTCTTGGATTATGGCTGTAATTGTTGGCACTTGAAAGATTAATGTCCCTTTTTGTGGGGGAAAGAGGCTGAAATATGCAGAACCCCTGCATGATTAAATAGGAAAACCAAAGGGTAAGTGAACTGTTGTAGACGTGAGGAGACTTTTTGCAGATTGCTAAATGATACAAATAGTGTAAGTTGGCTGTCGGTACCAGAACCTGTGTCTTAACATGCATTTGAGCAAATGAAATCTGATGCAGAAATCAACAGGAGGTTTATTTTTGCTATTTGAAGGAATAAAATAATCTATACTCCTTAAAAGAAATCAAATCTTATATTTTTGATGTAAGTAAACTTTTGTCTAGTCTTAGGTTAATCATCACAGGCTCAGCCAAACAGCATGGTTATGTTGAACAACCACAGGATGTCGCTGTTTTGCATTAATGAGTGAATAAATAAACCGTTGTGAAGGCTCAAACAGGACATATAAAGTGTGTATTTTCAGATTGATCGAGTTAAATTTGCAGTTTCTAGGTCAAGTGATCAGTTGGCCATTCATTCATCATTAGACATGACTGTAATGTTTATTTCTTTAATAGCTGTAGGCTCACTGTTTTGCTTGTGAGTGTACAGCATTAGGTGTGCAGCATGTCATTTCTGTCAAATACATAAAGCCTTGACATGTCTCAAAAAAAGACATGTTAAAAAGTGCACTGTTTTCTTTTGCTGCTTGTGCGCTCATTTAATATAAGCAATATGTTTTTAAATGGAAGAAGTCACTTCACTCATGTATTAAATCAAGAGCACCAATAACAGTGAGACCTCCAAAAGGGCAAAGGACAGAATGACTCTTTTTTCTTTTATAGCCATGCCTGAAAGAGTATTGGTATTAAAGCTGTGGCAATTAAAACTTTTTGTACAAAATTCAGCCTCTTTAAAATCGGAATGGGTGGTTGTCAGTAGCCTTCAACAAGGAGAGCAGAGTGAGAGTGCACTTTACAATAAGAGCTCCTTTTCAAATCGTGTGTGCAACAGCACGGTGCCCACTCTAATAACCTGAAACTCTTTATCACTCATGATCCTAATGCATAATTTGCATGTATACATGTGTGCATACACATGTTCGTTTTTGTGCACATGTTCCCTAAGGTGTGCATGCTGTGTGTGTGTGTGTGTGTGTGTGTGTGTGTGTGTGTGTGTGTGTGTGTGTGTGTGTGTGTGTATGTGTGCACATTTTCACAAACCTCAGACACCGCACACTGCCCTAAGCACTGCCACACACACACACTGACAGGCATTCCTGAGGCTGCATGCCCCCTCAGACACCCCCCCCCCCCACACACACACACACACACACATGCACAAACACACACACAGACATACCACTGGACCCACTGTAAGGGTCGCCCAAAGGGCACATGAAGGAAAATTGAGCCGTTTTATGACTGGAGGGCAACAGAGGGGAGCAAAAGTTTGTATTGAGAGCAAAGACAAAAGACAGTTTAGCCTGGGTGACTTTCTAAAAATTGTCCTCAAGATAAAAGGTTTAAAGTGCAGAGGTGCTAATTATGGTTTTTCTACTGGCAGATATATTTTCACTCAAGTCACTTTTCTCAATCTTATTAAGTTTAAAAGTTCTAAACATGCTCGGTGTTACGTCAGCATAAAACATCAGCACGCTATAGTGTTCACAGTGCAAAACACTTCAGCCTCCCAGGAACATGCTGAGGTGTTGTAATGTTAGCTGTGATGTTAGATAGCATAACTGCTAATGACAGGGAGGGTGAGAGCACGAGGAAAGTGGGTGGTGTGAACCTTACATGCCAAAGTGCTACCAGCCAGTGACAGCAAAAGGGGAAGCCAGGCAGTAAATAAGCAATTGCCACTGATATTCAGCTGAAAACAGTAACCCTGAACAATAGGCAGAAATGTGTTGACACACAATCACATACTTTCAGTGCAAATTAAATAGTAGAAGTAGAAGTACCAAATGAACATTTGGAAATGCAGAAATGCAGTCTCTCATTGATTTTTAAAGCCAAGCTATTTGACTCATGGGCTCATTGGTGACATTTGTGGAATGTGGAGCAAATGCCGTTGGTCAGCTCCACCAATCAGAGCAGAATATTCACAAAAGAATTGTTTATTGAAACAATGCGGCATAAACCACTAATAGGTAGAAGTTTGAGTATTGTGGTAACATCTCTTAAAAGTAAAGAAATAAATGGAATAAAGGTCATGAACGTCCCAACTTTACTTTTGTGTATTTGCACAAGTGTGTGTTGGCTCCGGCCCTTGCTATGCTCCCCCATTCCTCAAGATATTTTTGACACTTGGTTTCAAAGTTTGGCCACATTTTTGCTGCTCAGACCTGGCACCTCTGTATTGTACATCCTGTATGTTATAATTCTCTTTGGCTCTCTCTTTTACCTCCAAACCCCCCATATTCCTAATGTTCCCCTCAAGTCAACAATACTCTATGAGTGAAACTGAATGTAGGAACGTCTCTCTATAGTTTAACCTTCTTTTATAAGAGTTTTTCTTATTCCCTGTTCACCCCCGACTGTTTGCATCTCCAGTTTCAGCCTGGGAACCAGCCATCCCCCTGCCAGGAAATACTGTATGTTTGCTGGTTCATTGCAGCATGGGGTATATTTACCAGTCGGTAGCTTGGGAGCAGCCATAAAGATATTACACATTCATTTGTTTGCATCGAGCTGTTAACTAACTTCAGACATTAGCCCCTACTCCCCCAATGCTTATAGGTCCAATTAGCGGGTATAGAGTTTGGGCTACTGCTGCATTTGAATTAACTTTTTTCACCTCTCTATGGAAATTACAAAATTAAACCCCCCATATTCCTAATACTCCCCTCAAGTCAACAATACTTTGAGTGAAACAGAATGTAGGAACATCTCTCTATATTTCATCCATCACAGACTGCATTCTAAAAGTAAATGGCAAAATTAAAATGCTGCTGAGTTTCTTCGTCTTTTATGTAAAAAACACACACACACACACACACACACACACACACACACAAAAACATTAAGTTAAGTCAGCACCAGCAAGATATTTTCTACGCTCACATTGTTATGCAATCAACAGTTTAAGTTCAACATTAAAAATGGAAGGACGGTTTCTCATTTTGCAGCTGCCTGCCAACACTTAACAACCTACACTTAATGTAACATTTCATCAGATTTAAGAGTATGTGTATATATATTGAAGTCTTGTGCTAAAACAGCACATGCACATAAATACACGCGCAAACTTTGTAGGACAAGTCGCCCGCAGACTCAGTGTGTTATTTAAAGATTTATTTTGAAAGAAAAAAAAATGCTCCTCAAGATGATTATCAGTCATTATTATAAAGTATCTAAATACAGGCAACTGAGGTATATCTGTCTTTCTACAGGTGGAGTGTGTGAGAGAGAGGCAGAAAGAAAGAAAGCCTGAGGGAGTGAGAGACAGTGACTGAGAGACACAAGCTTGCACAAACAACGATGAGAACAAAACAACAATGTATAAAAGCTGAACATGGACAGTGTTGTATATAGTCTGAAGAAGTGGCCTACATGATCATGGCACATCATTCATTGCACTAATTTCTATATAAAAAGGCAAAGGCAAATTTTTCCACAATTAATAACTTCGTATCACAGCCTCGGATACAGTTTAACATAGAAAATAAAGCCATACAAAATGGTGAATTAGAATCAACTGATTTCATACGACCTTCTGCATTCAGTAAAAATGCATGCACTTTTGTAAAGTTCATTAGGCTCCAGCAAAGACTCCTGTAGCCCGCAGTTTCAAATGGCTGAGATAAACATCCCTTTGAAACCTTAATTATCTTGTCATGTGTCAACTGACTTCTTTTTATGTAAAAGAATCATTAAACAAAAAGATGAGTAAAACAGCACACTTCATGTGGCTAAACCAAGATCAAACTGAGACATCACTACGCCTTTCTCAAACGCATAGTTTAACATTTTGTAAAATAGGCTTATTCACCTACTTGCAGACAGTTCGTTGAGATCACCACTCTCATATTCATTAAATATAAAGCTACAGCCAGGAGACAACTATCTTAACTTAGCGTAAAGACTGAAAAACAGAGGAAACAGTTAGCCTGGCTCTGTCGTAATGTAAAAAAAAAAAAAAAAACTACCCCCCATCACAGCACATTTAAAGCTCATGAATTAACACGTTATGTTTCCATAGAAAGATTTAAGTGTAGAGACTCCGAGTCGTGGAGTCTTTGCCACTGTAAGGTTGCCAGGCACCCAGCAGAGTCTCCATGACTGTGTTTTTGCACTTTGGTTTCTGCACTGAATAAACAAACAGGACATAAATATTGAATTTGTGAATTAGAGGTGCTGTTAGGCAATTTCTTTTTCTCCTTTGGACATAGCCAGGTTAGCTGTTCCCTTGTCTTTAAGCTAAGCTAAGGTAACTGGCTGCTGTCTGTAGAGAGTGTGGGTCTCCTCATCTAACTCTTGGCAAGAAAGCAAATAAGCATATTTATGAAAAAGACAAACTATTCCTTTAATGATACATTACACGTTCTCCCGTGAATATATAGACACAGTCTCAAACAGTAGCACAACAGATCATGTAAGGCATACCAATTTGCTTGACAAGCAATAGGCAGCAACCATAATGACTTACAAAGATTGGAAAACACACAGAGACATACATCCACACAGAAACACACAGGAGGCTCAGTGAACGTAGAAAAAAGGATCTGGTGTCTGTCGATTGTCAGCTCAATGATTCATGACCAACTGTCATCTTAAAGGCAAAAACTTCATTTTGGTTTATTTGACATACTGCTAACGAACAGCAGCCGCCTGTCAACTGCAGTTAAGTCATGAACATTAAATACAGAGCATTATTGTATAATATGTGATCACGATTAACTACTTACTGGTCTATTTGACAAAATAAATTCTGATTTTCTGTAATAATTTACCTAATCTAGTTCTATGTATTAACAAAGAGTACAATACGAGTACATTGGAGAGTGTATCAGCGTGTAGATGAAGGCTGAAACCAGCTGAGGTTTTATGAGAGGAATACAGCTCAGTCCCACATACAGTACAGTGGTTCAGCCCTGTTACATGTGTGTGAGTATGAGTGGGTGAGTGGTGTAGTCATGTGCCAGTGGGTTTAAGCGTATTTGTCTGTCTGCCCCTCTTTTGCCAACTACTTGTATAGCATTTTGACTGAAACACACTCACATACACATTGGTAGACTCACAAATGACGAGTAAAACAAGATTAAAATGGAGAGAAAAATAAAAACACAAAGAGTGATTGTATCCAGTGAGTAGCAGAGTAATCAGGCTGATTGAATGAACTACAGTATAAGAGTTGGAGAGAGACAGTTCTCCATCTGTCCGTGAGGGTACAGTCCGCTGCTGTCCTCGGAGGAAGTGCATACTGCAGTGTCAGTCCACCAGCCCTGGTCCGTCCAGTAAGGAGCCAAGGGGAGCTGTCACTTCCTTGTAGCCACCCACGAGTGCTCCAGCAGTTAGAGGGGAGAGGTACTGTAGGGGGGACAGGGATGACCCACATGAGAACAGGCCCCATCCTAGAGGTCTGTGGATCACCACACACGGCAGATGTTGTCAGGAACCATGTAGCTACTCTTGTTGCAGCTGAATGCTTTGGCAAATTCTGGGAAATTCTGAAGGGAGCCCAGTACCCTGTGACAAATACAGAGGAGATTGTTGGTTGATGTTAAACTTGCTGTATAAGAGGGTTACGTGAAATTGAAATTTACATAACATGCCATTTTATCAAGGTTTTTTTTAGGAAATACTGTTGGTTTGAATTTACCTGAATTTCCCTGGACTGTGTACATCTACTTTAATGGAATTAACAGCTTGCTCTGGTCTGTGTGTTCCACACCACACCTGAAAAGACAGTGATTATGATTTCTTCCAATATCCTGTACTTTTTCCAGTTTATCCATCCATCCATCTATCCATCCATCCATCTATCCATCCATCCATCCATCCATTCATCCATCCATCCATCCATTCATCCATTGTTCCAGTCATGCATCCATCCATCTATCTATCCATTTATTGCTCAACCCAACCATCTAGTCTTCCATCCATTCATCCATCTATGCACCACCTGAGCAAAGATTAATGAGAAGAGTTGAGAAGACAGATATTAGGATGTACCACACTAGAACAAAAATGTTGCTTATAATATCACCAAATCTTGTAATTTCCAATTATCCATCCATCCATCCATCCATCCATCCATCCATCCATCCATCCATCCATCCATCCATCCTCTACCTGAGCGAAGTTTAGGAAGAACAGTTGATCATGGGAGAGGTCAATGCCAGGCAGTGGTGGCTCCTCTCCATGCTCCTTCACGTAGTTCTTGTAGGCCTACAGTAATGACACAAGACAAATGTTATCATTTTATCTTACTGGAAAAAAATATCTGTAATGCCTCGATATGACCTGTTTTATACTAATACTGGTAAATTTGGGAGACAAGCAAAACCCCAAGCATGTTAATTTTTAAATAAACTGACTCTTGTTTCGGTGCTTGTTATTCCATTGTCTTCATCAAAGTGACTCATTTCTGGGGCACTGCCTGTAAACCCCTTATACAGTATCTGACTGAGTTGAAATTATTATGTGTATTATGTGTTGGGCTGTTTGTTGGGCCGTGTGATTCACGTGTGTTACCGCTCTGCCACAGCTCTAGAGTTTTTTCTCTTCTCTTGAGTTCTTTTCTCTTGTGTTTCCTTGTTTTCCCTCTTGTCTGTTGTGGGCGTGGCTTCTTTCTCCCGGCACCTGGTATCATTCCTCACCTGCTACCCATCAACTCATCAAGCAACCTGTTCAAGAATCCTGGCCATGCTCCACTCATTGCCAGATTGTTCCTTCCACTTACCGGTAGACTTGCTCTCTGAGAAATATTCTCTAGAGTTTTGTAGTTGTTCCTTTCCCTGCCTGTGTTTAACATCTTTCTCCTCTGTGTCCAGAATCCCAGCGCCAGCCAGCCTCTGCCTTCAAAGCCACCACTACCAATCTCTCTGCCTTCAACCTTGCTTTCATACTCAGCTGGTCTCCACCATTCCCTGCTTCAACCCTCCTCAGTCAGCCATCAGCCCTCTCCAGCCATCAGCTTCCCCAGAGTAACTCTTTTGGCAATAAAACCACTTATATTACCCAACCTTAGTCTGACTCTGCTTTTTGGTCCGAACACAAACTTTTACACAGCCTTAGCAAAGTGTATTCTAAAAGTACATCTGTGATGTTTTGGAAATAGTCTGGTCAACTCTGAATTTATTGCAACAAATTGAAAGTTGCTGCAGCAACTTATATAAGCTATATTTTCAGCATCTAAATTACCATCTAAATGCTAATTCATGTCACTCTGTGTTTATGTGGAGAAAAAAATTACAATGTCACATTTCCTGTTCTGTTACAGCATGTTGTATGTTTGAGAAGGAAATCAAATCTCTGCTTGGCCTCAAAAGGGCAACAAAATTGAAAACGAAAATACATTTTAAGAGAAATAATGGTTGATCTAAAATAATAACATTTGTTATCTTGTATTGCGATGTGTGGATCCCTTTCGCTGTTCACCTCTGATGAAATCAGTGGCAACATCATGTCCTTCACTGTTGTGTTTACAAAAGTTAATGAGCCAGTCAGTGACCTGGCAAAATGACATGTCTATTAATGTTCGTAAGCAGACCACAATAACGAACCACAACCAAATCCCCTCCTCTCTCAGCTGTAAAGCCACACTCTTAAACCGAGTTTCCTCCTTTGAATTGAGACTCATTACCTGATATGCTTGCCGTATCCCTCCATTGTCAGCAATGTTTTCCCCGAGGGTGTTATTACCATTTAACTAGAGAGGGGATATAAGAAGAGAGAACACAAAGATTGGCTGGAAAAAAGGACAGAGGGGGGCTGTAATTTGTCCTATGTATTTCAACAAATCACAAATATCACTCTTCAGATACAGGAAATAATTTTCTCATGGGATAAAAGAAGCATTGTTCAAAGCAATAGGACAGAGAAGGAGAGACAAAGACGGGGAGTGGAATAGATATGTCAACACAAAATATTAAAGACACCTGAAGCAGAGAAGCAATGAGGCTGCAAAACTAAGGGAAACATAGAAAAATGAGAAATAGATAGTCAACAGGAAAGTTCATAAATGAAAAATAAATGAGACAAAAAGCAAGGTTTAGGAAAATATTTGAGAAAATGCTGGTGTAAATTCAATAAAAAAAAAAGGAGAGAAGGAGAGAGATTGTGACTGTCTACCAGGACATACATTAAGTCCATTGGCTAGGTCCCAAGAGAAGTTGCCATACTGATCGACAATGCACTTTGACAGCTCCAGGAACCTCTGAGTTGAGTCTGGTGTCCACCAGTCCTTCAGGTCACCATCCTTATCGTAGTTACGGCCTAAAAAAGAGGCCAGATTCATGGAGCTTCAGCTGGTCGGATTTGATTAACAAGAAAAATATTGTGATGCATCTCCATGCCCAAACACCCATTATCTTATTATCTGAGACAGCACTGAAATACTGCATGTGATGTCAATTCCATGTTTCCATTCCATTTAATTCATTTCCATTGTAGTTCTGGGTGGCTTGCAGATGTGGTTATCAGTATAAAAGAATCCTGACATCTTTCAAATTGACCATAATAACTTCATATAACCCAATGAAAAGGAGCGCCGTGAAAAATGATCTGAGCACAGCAAACAGAAATGGCATTTTAAAATCATTTTTTTCTGAAGTGGTACCAGATACAGAAAGGGAAATATTTCTACCCAAAGACCAAAGTAATCTGGCAAAACTGCCTCTGGGAGGAAATGAGAGCAACTGTGCGGAAAGTCATACCATTGTCATCAAAGCCATGTGTGATCTCGTGACCGATTACCATGCCGATGCCACCATAGTTGAGAGACTTAGCCTGGCCTTTGCTGAAGAAAGGCGGCTGGAGGATACCTGCAGGGAACACTGACGGCAGGGAAAAACAAAAAAAAGAACTAAAGTGGTTTGTCGTTACAAAATGTAGAATGTTGAATCATTCATACATTTACTGTTTGTTTGCAAATGAATATATTTGCACATGCACATGTGTAAATACCTATTTGGTTTTTGCTAGATGAGTAAAAAGCGTTGACAACAGCAGCTCCTGTTACCCACCTGGAGAATTAAAAAATGGCACGGTGAGGAGACATATAGTGTGGCACAATTCAAATTTGATGAAAGATATTAAATTTAACTTGTGGTTAATAATAACCAAGCTAATGTTAGCATTCCTGCTGTGCTTAGTGAAAGCCTGAACTCTATATGTGAGTAGGAGTTTGTGTGGGAGAAAGTGAATGCACTCTGCTAAATGCATGAATGTGTGTCACATCACTATTACCATAAGTGAATAAGACATTTATTATCAGCGATTTAAATACTTCACAATGTAACTTTAAATTGCTACACATCTGGAAAAAGCCTGTATGCTGAGCATTGATTTAATTCTGCCCCCACGGGGAATCTTACTCCTCTTTGTTGACTTTGACTCTGAGTTTCCGCAGGCGTTTCTTCTGCACATACTCCAGGTTCTGTAGGATGTTTTCAAAGTACTCCTCTGCATTGTAGCTCAGCTAACACCAACACAGAGCCAGAGAGGCAAGAGGATTAGCTGTGATTAGAGCTATCAACACCCGGTCATATATTCTCCTGCAAAACTCATAAAAGCCAAGAATGTACTGATGTTTTCACTGAACTGATATGCAGCTACAATGAATCCACACTCTATTCTGTTACATTATTTCAGTGAAAGAAGGAAAAGAAATTCACAACTGCATCTTTTCAGACACTCACATATTTGTACTCATTGTTAAGGTATTCGTCATCCATGATGTTGTCAGAGTAGCCGATCCGTTCCCGAATAGCTCTGGCCTACAGAAAGTAGAAGAGAAAATTTGACAAACAAACACCTTAGTCATCACATATTCTAAAGAGCAGCATATAATACAACAGACAGTTAATTATAACCAATACCTTCTCCTCAGCTGCTTTCTTGGTCTCTGCATCCATCCAGGTCAGGTCATCAAGGTTACTAATGAACACTTCCCGAATATCTTTGATCATCTCTTCCATCTGGTACACACACATACACACACAAGGACACATGAAGAGAGAATGAGACAACAATATATCCCAAAAATATGTCACTGATATATAACAATCAAATGTGTATCATGAAAAAAACTGTCAGTCAGTGCAAATCATCCATTGTGTGGGAGTTGTTTTTTCATAAGGTCTGCAGAGAGGATCCAGCGAGAGGCACACAGAACAATCTTGCAACACATTGTGCAACAAAGTCATAAAAATACACTTCCCCGGATTAGGCCTCATCATTACATAGTCACATATCAACGTAGAAGCACTCAGGTTTGCAGTCCCTCTGCGTAGGAGTCTGATGAGCTTGGGAAATATTACCAGTAGACTAATAATATGTTTGATTAATATGACTATGATTATGAGTAATATCAACTATTTTTACACTTTATAAAAAAAGAATGGGGTAAAGACAACCAGAAATACACCACATTTAGTGATTAACAATGACAACTCAGAGTGGAGTGAGAAAAACTTATTCCTACTTATTTATGAAAGGCTCATCTTGTTGTATTAAAATTCTCTACAGTGGATGTCTGCTGTCTGGCTGGTTGCAAAACTGTAGATACATTATTGATATTGTGACTGATTCACATATTTTAAAAATTTACATTTTCTTATAAATGCATCCAGCATTTTTGGGCTCTATTTTCTGTTAGAAAAATAATCCTGAGCCTTATCATTCTAAGTTATAGAACAGGTTATTGATCACAATGTTTAACCATATATTAGACAAACAAGTTATGCTATTCTTATTAAGCAAGTAAATGGTGCAAGTAAACGAACATTTCCATGTCAGCATACTTGTATTCACATAACACACTGGCAGAGCTGTAGTAGTCTCATGATGATGAGATTTTCTTTTTATATGCAAATCCACACAGCAAGGTGCTGCAAAATCCACATCAAAAGCTCCGTTTTCTGTGGGAACCTGCGGTGTAAGTTTAGTGTTTCTATAATGTATTGCTCTCGAGTTACAGTACTTACAAGAATGTGCCTGCACACAGAGACAGACTGACTGACGCCACTAGAGACGGCATAATTCTGTACCATGGTCTATGGACAATGAAAAGCCAAGTTTTTTTGTTTTGTTTTGTTTTTTTTTTTGTCCACAAGCAAAAAGAAAAACATGATTGGAATAATCCACAAAAAAAGTTCATGAACCAATAAAGGAATGAAAGCAAAATAGGAAGGGGACAAATTAAAAAATGATAATGACAGTGCAGGTCAACCTCCCAGATCCCTCTTACCAAAGTTGTGCTCTGAGACCACAGTGAACTGACAGAGGCATTCCAGTGTCTCATTACATCAGCAGACCCCTCACTAACACACTGCATGACCACTCGGACAACACGCTGTGGTTCACCACAAACCGGCAGGGACCACACTGACGAGGTTTTTCTGACAACCTTTTAGCATACAGAGTGTGTGTGTGTGTGTGTGTGTGTGTGTGTGTGTGTGTGTGTGTGTGTGTGTGTGTATGTGTGTGTGTAAGTTTTTATTGTGTGCATGCATAAATGTTTGCGGTTACATGCATGCTGGTCTTTTTGCATGTAAAATCCTATTACATGGGTTAAATGCTGGGTTTATATGCAACGGTAAGCCCACTTAATAGTATGTTTCATAACAGTATGCTTTAGAAATATAATGAATCCCCATTGTGGACACTAATCCACTGCTATTCAATTTGATCTAATTTACTCAGTCTCTACATAATAAACAAAGTCACGTCCATTTTAAATCACTGGATTATAGAATTTTTTGGTCTTTGTTTAACCGTTCATTTGTAGCGTATCTAATGGTTAAAAAAAGTACCCAGCACCATTACCTTAAGTCCTCTGAAACCCTTCAGAGAAACTAGAGTTATTATCATTGAAATATAGATATAGATTTTATGTAACTCATCATTAACAAAATATGGCCCATGTTTGAATTTCTTTATTATATTTTATATTTTTTGATCATTATTGCCAGTCTGCCAATGTGTAAGAAGCCTTTTGTTGTTGTAGCTAGTCAAGGTGGAGCTAGTTTTAACTCATTTACTTACTGTTGGGTAGTTTAATCCAAACACGATGCCATATTTTATAAATGAATCATATATCACTGTATGTATGTGACATGTTTGCCAGCAAAATAACTAGTTCTTATAGTTTTCAAATAAATGTAGTGGCGGAAAAAGGGCACAATCTTTTTTGTCTTTATGTATAAAGTAACAACATAACAATAGTAGTAAGGTATACTCAAGTACAGTACTTCTCTTAATACACTTAGTTACAGTTCACTAATAACCATATCTGAAATATATCTTTGTGGCTGAAAGAAGGTTGGTACGTGAGGGGTGCAGCATATATGCAAGATGCCAGTCAAGTCAGCACATTTACATAAACGTATGGCCATGTATTTGGGGAAATGCATGTTGATGTGTACTGGCATGCTCAAAGGAGTTGTGTGTCAATTTACACATACACAAACACACACACAGACATGTTTACACAGCGTGTGATGTGAGATCACATGCTGGAGTAGGCAAAGTTGCAAAAAATGACAGAGATTTAAAGTGTGTGAGGCGCTCAGCAGTATGACAGATGTACGCTGTCTCACACACACACAGTCTGACTCACACATACACACGGGCATGTGCCAAGGCGCGCACATACATACACACACACGCAGAGATGAGATTTACAATGTAGGTGGTGTGGGCATGATAACAAGGACACCTTGTTCAGCTGCTTTCAATGGGTGCAAGCAAAAAATAAATACAGTGCTGTGGTGGAGACACAAAGGTGACAAAAACATAGGTGAGTAAGAGACAAAAATACACCCAGTGGGATATGCCTGTAACACATGTTATCAAACTGCATGTATGAATAGGTGAATACATCAACACTTTCACATAGACTGAGAACATGTGCCCAGAAGATTCATTTCTGGGATTCAGTACCTGCTCCAACTGTCAATAAAAAGTAAACATATATATTATTTATCACACAGAATGTATCCTGCCTGATGAAGGAATTCCTCGATTAAATCTGATTAAATCTATTCTAATAATATAAAGTATAACCCGACCTCTACTGACCAGTTCTTTGCTCTTTTCGGAGAAAGCCTCCTGCACGTATAGTCGTCCAACAGCATTGTCCATGTTGTTGTTGACGTAAAGTGCACACTGTCGCCACACGGCTGCTTCCGACGTTGTACCCGACAGAGCCTGCAGGGAAAGTAATGAGGCACAGATCAATTAGAGATGCAGGATAAACAATTCAGCATATTGTTTAAAGAGTCTCAATGGCAATTTTGTATTTGCACCTTCATTATGCATTACCATTACACTTAGGAATATAAGTAATAGTGCAGAAGGGAAATGACTAGATTAGGAAGAGGGCTAGGATTAGAAAGATTTAGAAATGGTAAGGAAGAATATGAATGGAGATGAGTGTGGACGTTAGTGTTTATTAGAGCCTGACTGATCGGCATGTGCGTAGGCTGATGCTGTAAGCAGCAAGAAACAGCAGTATAGAATAATTTAGACACAGTCTTACATAGTTTGTTTTTTTTTTCACCAAGGCACCAATAAGTTTATTCTCATACTAGCAGCATAGGGATAGCAATAATGTTTGGTTGGTCCGCCACACTGGTCCAGAAATATCGGATGGAAGTATTGGATGGATTGCTATGGACTTTTGTGCCGGCATCCATGTTCCCCAGAGGATTAATCCCGCTGACTTTGGTGATACCATGACTTTTTGTGTCACCATGAAGTTGATATTTTTGTTTTCGAGTTGGATAAATTGTCATGAAATCTGGTACAGACCATATGTACAGACATTCATGTTCCCCCCAGAATTACTTCTAATAACTTAGTTGATCCCTTAACTTTTCATCTCGTGCCATGATCAGGTCAAAGTTCGGTCAAAGACTTCGCCTGCTACTTTGGTTCATGAGAAAATACCTGCATACCTGATGACCTTCCCATCTGCTTCAGCAGCACTCTGTGTCTGAGTGCTCATTAGCAACATGCTAACGTGTTACATTAGGATGGTGAACATTATACCGGCTAAACACATAGTTAGTGTTGTGCTTGCAGTCATGTTGTCATGTTGAGCCACTAGCTCCTTTATGTGCTTGTGTTATGTTGTTATCCACCTCTAAAATTCAGAATATTAGTTGGCTCTAGCATGTTCAGTGTCAGGGTCCTGGTGGTGTACCTTGCGGAAGGCTTTCCTGGTGTCCCTGTAAGCTCTGCTCAGACCCACCACCATGTTCATAGCAAAACGCCACACCATGTAGTTCTGCAGATCCCTGTGAGGAGAGGAATGATGTTCAAAGAAAGTGTCTTATTCACACAAAGCTACATGATATCAGTAATGGGTGAGGTGCTGTTTTCATTGCACGCTGTGCGCTTCTGCCCTCACAAACACACACTCAACACAAACAGGCTATCATACACAAGCACAACTAGTGACACATACAAACACACACACCTCTTGGTGTATCTGGCCAAGATAAGGTTGAGTCTTCTGTAATAGTTGGGGGAGTAGTTTATGACCTTCTCTGTGTCAGGAACGCTGATGTTGACCGTATCCATTATCTTTGCTGTGAAGTAACTCCAGTCAAATACCTTCAGGATGAGTCCGAAAGCACAAAGAGGAGAAATAAACATAAGGAACAGGAAGAAAGGTGAAAGAGAGACAGCAAATTCTGACAGACAAAGAGTTTATTTTTACCTGTGATTCAACCTCAAGGGTGAAGTTGGCGTTAAGATCACCCAGTTCCATCTTGTTGTAAAGCAACACTGGATTGTTACGGTCCTCTGGAGTATCAGTAGCCTTGGAGAGAAAAAGACAGAGGTTGAAAATCAAGAATGCTGTCAGAAAACAACCCTCCTTGTCTCCTGACACATGCGTACACATGCAGTGCAGGTCCAGCAGCAGAAAACATATTTGGAGTCCCAGGAGGCTTCAGGTCTGTAAATGTCAGAGCTTGAACAGTGTGACTGCCTTGTAAAAGCCAGCAGCTGAGTGGAAGCGAAGTGAAGCATGGCAGTGAGCAGAACCGAGCGGCACAGAATGACAAACGTAGACTGTGGAAACCTGTTGATGTCTGAGAGAAGTTGTTGTGTAGGGATCAGGCTAGTTAACAGCTTGTTTTACACAGCAGCTGCTCCAGAATGGAGCCATAAACACACACAGAGGAGAGAGGTTTGGGCTACAAATGCAGGAGTGGAAGGTCAGACTGTCAAAAGTGGTTTGCTCACAAGATCCTCCTGCTGTTTGAAGCTGAGATAGAAGATAAGGTATGCAGTGCTGCTGGAAAACAAGGTCTCCTTCCATTAGTTTTCCAAAGAACAAAAGAGCGCATTTTTAGAGGCTAGAGGAAGTTCTAAGAGAGAACAAGCTATTTAGGGTTCTGCTGGGAAAATGCAAAATGTGAATACGCGCTTACGTTGGCGATGTCCCTCTCCAGGTCCATAACTCGTGTCACCTCCTCTCTGATGCGGGTTTCATTGATGGCCAGTCTCCGGTCAGTGCGGATCAGCTTAGCCAGGTCGATCATGAACTGCTCATAGGCCCGACACGCCTGCCAAACACACACTCATTCATGATATTCTCATCTTGACTTTAACAGGAAAGAAAGGGGCTCACTGGTTTGAATTTAGCCAGTGACCAAAAACCAGAGGTGACAACTTGCACATACACACAGATGCACACACATACACTCAGCCCGCCTCGACCCAAGCTCTTTTAAGTGCTGCCTTCTGCATATCAATCAAGGGTCTATGGTAAACTGTAAAGCAAAACCAGAGCAGAGGATGTCTGCTCCAATCACACACATCTGGTATGTATTGAGACACAACCAAATCTGTTCTGTCTTGCCTCATTGATTTTAATCATCACTTACTGCCTCAGAGAACATTTCTATTTATCCTATACACATATGCTCGCAAACACATGTAAGCATACAAACTAGCATAAAGTTCAGGTGCTGATGTTTAAGCTGATGCCCTCATCATTTGTTGGGCATCGTGTTTCCCGGGACGAACTCCAGGGGACATGAAACAAATACTCAGTGGCACTGGTCCAAACGAACACATGGAGCTGTTTTCATCGTGCATCGGTTGAAAGCCTTAATTAAATTACAAGTAGGTGTGCATGTGTATGTGTGTGTGAACTTTAATCCTACCTCTGCGTAGGGCCCAGTGCAGGCGTAGTAATCTCTGGACAAGAGGCCGAGGCTTGTCTGTTGGTCAAACTGGAAAAGACAAGAAAACATACATATTTATTTATATAAGCCAAAGGAGTCAGATTTGAAAAAATTGGTGGGTGGTTATGTTCAGGGTGGATGAATACGACATGTGACTATTTGTATGAATGTAGGTCTATGAACCCAGAGGGACAGATGAGGGATTTCTAGCTACAGTTGCACACCTACATGAATGATGTGTGAATTGGAGTCCCTGTCATCGGTGCCGACAAAAAAGTTAACCAATAGCTGAGTTCCATATTTCTCATTCAGCTTGGCGATGACGTCTTCCAACTTCCACGTTTTACCTGAAGAATAGAGAAGGAGGGAGACGTGAGAAAGAAAGAGATGCCTGAGGATGACATCTGCTGTGCGTGACAGTGGAAAGGAATACTCTACCATAGTTGGTTTCCCAGTTGTCCACAGCTATGGGCCACTCAAACACATCAGGCAGCATGAAGAGCAAAGGAGTCCCTCCTCTGAGCTCAATTAAACCTTAAAGGAAGTGTAGTTACAATCAAGCACAAGTGTGTTTTTAATAATGGATGTGTGTGTTTATTTCTTACAAATTAAAATTCAGAAAAGTATGAGCGAAAAAGAAAAGAAACCTTTCATTATTATTTAAATATTGTACTTCTCAAGCATAATTAATCTATGCAAATTTGAGCTCATTGCAGGAGTTTACTGATGACACTTCGAGCTAAAATGCTTTTGAAGAATGCACTTATTTGCATAACGTAATGCTGTAAAGCTGAATGACCATTTCTTACTTTTACATTTACATTACATTTATTCATTTCCACTTTTAATGCTTTTTTTTAAACTGATGGTTGATAAGAAATGTTAATATAGTTATAATAGTTTGACAAAAAAATAAACTGAACGAGACACGCAACTTGTAACAGCAAAAGGTTCACTTTAGAACAAGAGAAGTTACAAAAAGAAATAGTCAGTCTGAAATCTGCTGACTCACTCTCATTAGTACAGGACTTGTAAAGGGTCTTCGCCTTGATGAGAGCAGCAGCTTCCCCCTCCACTGTTTTTTCAAGGACACCTACAAACAGAGCAGAGAAACAGACAAAGACAGAAAGATAAAGGAGGTATGAGTGTACATGTGGCAATGTGGACAGAGGGGAGGGGAAACAGGAAGGGGTGTAAATAACCTCAGGTACAATATACAGTTTTGTGGATTCAAAATAGAATCCAGCTGTTGTCCAGATGCATTAAATCATCTTAATTAAGACATGTTGTCTGTCCCTGTGTCAGAAAGCCCCAGAAAAAAAATAAAGTGATGGCTTCAAACTGAGGCAATTCATAGCAACCAATGACAAAACAGACAATATGACATTATTCAAACGGGAAGGAAGAAAACATTTTCTGAGTGCATTTAAGGGGGAAAAACTCAAACTCAAACAAAAATCAGTTCTTCTCAATTTAATTACATTTTTTCATAATGTGCACAATAGCTACCTGGAAAAACTAGGGATTTGAAGAACATTTTCAGATGACGGCTATTATGAATTGTAAACAATGACCAATCCATCTTCATCAAACATGTTTTAAACTACATGAAAATACTATGAACAAAAGCTATGATAAATATTTAGTGTAACATGGTTTTCCCACATAAAAAGTAAACAAAAAAATGAAAAACCGGGGCTAGCTGGAAGCACATCTATGCTTAATTCCTCACTGAGAAGTTCTGGATTAGGCCCACCGCCACTGCTTGCACTATTTTGACAGGTGAAAGAGCAGTGACAGTGGTTGACACATTGTCCACGGTTTTGCTAATGCAAGGTCTTGCTCTCTGTACGGAAATGGGTTTTGGTGACTGGTGAAAGAGCACTGCATATCAAGATGATTCACGTTAGAGGAAACCTCAGAGAGGCTCAGTCACACATTTGAGCCTCAGTCAGACATATCTGAACGGTTAGCGTAGTTGGCATCTTTTATTTGTTGATATAGCTTTTAATTGGCAGTGGCTGTCACAGTGTTAGTGTCTGTGCTAATGCAAACTCTTGCTGTTCTGACAAGATTTCGGATTTATTCTGCTCGCCCTTGTCCCCGTAAATTGACAGGATTGGTTCTGTAGGTGTGTGATGTTATGTCTGAAACCCTGGCTGACTGCATCCATTTGTATGAGACTGTCATTAGTTCACTGCAGTTCCAAGGTGGAAATATGTTAGTCATGGCGTTGACTGCTTATTTCACTCATGATATATGATGTGATATGATATGACATAAAAACCACCATATGGACAAAACTTGATTTTCATCGGAGGGGGTCTTTAAATGGAATATTCTTGGGAGCATATTAAAGGTATGTAGAAAACAAGTAAAGATGACATGCATTGGATCATTGCATTGATTAGTTGATAAATTAGGAAACCAGGAGCACATAGCAATAGTTCACCAATACACAATCACAAAATGTTCCTGTGTACTGTTTATGGCCAATCTTTAAGAATAAATAATTAAGCACAAACTATTTATCAGTAGCAGTGCAATTAATCTTTTAATTTAGGTGATTAACATTATTTGGGTCATTTTTTGTAGAGGTCAACACTGTCATATAAACCACAAATTAGGGAATATGCCATGCATATTTGAATCTCTTGTTGCAATAAATTGGCTTCTCAGTGGTAATCAAGGTGAGGTAAGTGACCTCAGCAGGGAAGTCATAGCAAATTAGGTGGAAAGAAATCAAGGAGCAGCAAAGCTGAAGGTGTGACAGTTAAGGGCCATTCGAAAACAAGAGCGAACACCATTGCATGTTTTATTGCCTGTGTTCATTGCCTCTTCAACACCTGTTGTGGGCATTTGGATGCCAGTTAACTCTGCCTCCAGCTACATAGTGTTTCTAGGTAGATAGCTAATCAAAATGAGTGATAAGTGAATGGGTGTAAACTTGCTCAACTGAGGGGGAGGAGAATGGGACTAACAACACACTTTTCCTGCACTGCCTCAAGGCAACCATTTGCATATTGTAGCTTTAAAGTGTAACCATTCCTTCTGGATCCACTGTCGCTTTTCAGCAGCATCAAACATGAGGGTGAGTTTAAATGAATGTTCAGATCATCAAGGTTCAATCTAACGCCCACATGGTAATTTTACTGTTTGCTGAAAACCACTGTGGTGAAAGCAAGTGTATTGTTGTGAAGGAGTAAAACAGTCTGTGCCCTCTGTCCTTAGGAAAAAGAAATCTCACACCATCTCAACAGGTACCTCAAGCTTTAGCTCAACTTCAGCTGATGGTGGTTTGTCATTCAGTATGAAACATTATTAATGTAACTGTGCCTGCACTTTGCACTACTTAACTACAAAGACCTCTTGACTCTCTCATCACCAAGTTTAATGCATTTAAATAGTCAGGGGCTCATGGGTGGCACAGGACTCATTTTAAAGAGAATCTTAGTTGTGCCGCTTTGCTCTATATAACATCAGAAAAAATCAGGCCTTACTTGATTCAGTATACAGCCAGCCCTTGGTCCAGGCTATGCTTATCTCTCACCTCAACTACTGCAATGCTCTTGTGGCGGGCCTCCCTTTGTGCACAGTGCAACCCTTGCAGATGGTCGAGAATGCGACAGCCTGACTGGTCTTCAATTAGCCCAAAAGGGCGCATGACATTCTCATACTCATTGACCTACACTGATTACCCATTGCCACCTGACTCAAATTCAAGTAACTAGTCTAGCCTTCAGAGTTACTTCTGGGTCTGCTCCCATCTACTTGAACTCAATCATACAGCCTTATGCTCTTCACACTCTCACACACACCCCAAATGACAGGCACAAAGAGAGAGGACCGGTTAAAACCAATGTGGTATGCCAAAAGAGCATATTCATATATTTAATTTTATGTAAAGTACATTATATTTTTTTGAGGTTGACAGTTCATTCTTGACTGTGAAAAATTATTGTTTTTTTATGGTTTCTGGGCTCAATGGTTTTATCCATGTAAAACTATATGTAGCAGCTTATTTTACAAAAGCCAGTGGATTATTACGTATGAGGAGAAACATTCATGATGTGTCCCACTGTGTTATAAAGACTGCATCATGAATTATGAATGATCTTAATCTCTTAAAAGTCTAAGTGCCTGTAATAAACTTACTGTACATGCAAAATGTATGTAAATGGTTGACCTCGTGATTGCTATTGTTTATGGTAATCTAGCAGAAGTGTATAAATGGACTGTTGAATTCGTATAAAAGCAGCCTGGAGCCTTTGTGAATTTCACATGTAAAAAAAAAAAAAGTTTGTCCTTAAAAATCCATGCAGATTTCCCCTTATATCACACATTATTGGATATCTGTGTGATAGATGTGGCATGAATTCATTATCATACATTTATTTCAACCATCTCAGAATTGTGGAGTTGTATGATTTATGTGTTTACATGACATGCCCAAGTCCTCATTGCACAACATGCTAATGGAGTTGTTAAATGAGGGAAATGAACTGAGCGCTCTAATGTTACTGTTTGTCTGTCATCTGTAGTAATATTTCTAAGCTGTATTTTGCTCTGGGTTTAGTTTTTGAAGATTGAAAAAGCTGTAAATCATCAGTATCAGCCATATTAGCATTTCAGAATGTGCCTCTTCTCTGTCTTCACAAAGCTGCCAGTTGTTGACATTCACCAAGTTAAGTTAACTAGCCAGGTTAAGCTGTGCAAACAATGTGCATGTATCATTAGCAATTAATGAATCAATTGTTCAAGCTCCTTTAGTCTTTACAGAATACAAAAACTAGGATTAAGGTTTGTTTGCATGAGGCTTTTAGTGTGCCAGACAAACAGAAACATGTCTGAAACTAATCCTGCCTCTTTTGCAATAAAATTTAATAAAATGAAGTAATCTACCAAAAAACATGTACTGTAAAATCATTCAAACTAAATTTCTAAATGAAAATAACCTAACTACAGCAAAGAATTTAGTTCAACATTCTTGACAAGACTTATTTCAGAGGACCAATACCACTTTCATATCTGTCCGTTCACAGCCAGCAGCCTGTTATCTTAGGTTAGCATACAAACTGGAAACAGGGGGAAGCTCCAAAGGTCCAAAGATAGCAAAATCCAACTTACAGGCTTCTTGGCAAGGAAGAGAATGAGCATATTCCTCAAAATGATGAACTTTGAATGTCATTAAAAGGAAACCCAAAGGGGTATCATGTTAGTGTGAAAACCTTTTGACTTTGTCAGCCATCCCACATCTCAACATGGCTTCAATTGCCTGTCACTTATAAAGTTATCTTATAAATGTTGCATCGGGATCAACTGACAAACACCATCACACTGTGCAACTCAATGCAACTACGGGATCAATACTGGGAAGAGGATGGATCTTCAGTTACACATGGAACTGACAGGAAATTCTCCCCTGAGTCCAATAAGACATCACCCATGTCACAGTAAATTGGGATCACAAGATAAAGATGAAGAAACTGCAATTTTTTTTTTCTTTCTTTGTAATTTTGGGGATTTAGTGACAGAACAGTTATAATAAAGACAGGAGATAAGGCAGCTAGCATATTTCAGATAAGGTTTATCCCTCCATCAACTCTCTAATTTCAGGTCAGATCAACTTGTCTTAAATACACCTATTCTATTATTGCATAATCTATGGGAAATCCACTTGTCATTCAATTTAGCAGCCCCAAAATATTCTAAATTGAATTCAGTATTTAATCATTACCTTTTTCAATTATTTTCAATTGCTCAGTGCTTTGGGTTATTTCTTTCCTGTATTTCTACTTTTCTTTTCACCTCCTGCATGACTGCATTTCACTTCAGACTCTTCCTACCCTTTCATTTTTGTAATCCTTCCATTTTCTCATTACCATGTGTGCACTATTTATGTGCTCATTTAATCTTAATGAAGTCCTGGGATAGGGACCCTTCACAGGGCGCTTCCTGCAAAAGGGCACAGATCATGTGTGTGTGATTGGATTACTGACTGCCTGGTGCTTATGTTTAACCACAGCAAAGGCTTACCCTCTCACTAACTCTCACTGTCTCTCTCACACAAACTCTCTCTCTCTCTCTCTCTCTCTCTCTCTCTCTCTCGCCCCATGTGTGTGCGTGTTTGGATTTATTTGAGAATGGATTTTGTGCCACCTGATGTTTGTTTGAGACGTCACGTCAATTTGAACCAAACCACTCGGCATGATACAGAATCAGAAATTTTGAGTTTCTCCTCTCCCCATTGCCATTTTATCCTTGACTACCTCTCGTTCCACAAAGCATTGCAGTGATTTTAGTTCGAGTTTTGCCTCCAATTTATTATTGTGAAGCACATATTTAGAGTATATTACAAGCGGAAGTTGCAAATGTAGTGGAGGTCTCTGAGGCTCACTCAGTAACAATAGGAGTTTTGCTACAACTGTTATCCAAACCTCTGACTGGCTTCTTCTCCATAGAAATGGCAGCTAAGGCCAATGGGTATCAAACTGGCACAAAAAAATATGATCTCTCAAAATTCTCTGAAACATATATTTGAAAATGGTAGCCATAAAATAAACCTATTGTATTGTAAAGTTGTCTATGAGACTCCAGTGTTTCTATGTTAAGAAACATTAAGAATAATATTAAAAGAAAACCTTAAAATTGGAATTTACAGTGGGGAGAAAACACTTCCAGACCCAGATGTTCATTCTTCATAACTATGGTGTCAGCCAAAATGATTATAGTGGTATTAGAGCAGTATTAGAGTGGTATTAGAGTGGTATTACAGTGGTATTACAGTGGTATAGCGGGTTATCCAGCTCAGCTGTGTCCTTTAATGTACAGCCAGGAAATGTACAGTATCTGCTCAAAACAAGTACAAAGCCATTGAAGTTAGTTTTTCCACAAGCACTGCCATCAAGCCAAACTTTGGCCATCTGCACCGTGTAACAGTTCTGTCATGTAGTCAGTATATAAGTATCTAGTATGTACAAAAGTTCTGTTGTGTACCCACTACACAGTTGGCTATGAAACAGCCAACAGGGCAGATTATTACCTTGGTGGAGGTCTAAACTATTTCTTGTTAATCATAAGCATCCTAGCTGGCAAAACATATTCAACTCAGGATTTTTATTCAATATGTTTTTGTTGGACAAGAATGACGGCATTAATATTCAAATCATTTTACTTGGCCAGAAAACTCTGGTCTGCTATCTTTATTTGATATGTTTATGAGAAATACAATATCTATCGTGTTGTGCAATGGTTCTGACTGGAATTTTGATATCAGGGAGGTCATGTGAACAACTATTTATTTAAAAAAAAAAAGTCTCCTTGTGGTCAGTATTGTTTGACATAAGTTCTGTTTCAATTATTGTTATCACAGAAAAAAACAGATATTCAGTCCCTTTGGTACTGTTTGTCATAGACTGTGAAAAACATCTCATATCTGAGCACTTTTCTTATGTCACAGCTATCTCACAGTCATGCTTCAACGCTCTCGGTGATGCCAAATTCTACAAGAAAAATAAGTTGGTGTATTCCATGCCTCTGGCTAAAAATCTAATGAGTGAGATTTAGACCTGGAGCCATGCAAGAAGCCCCTCAGATAATATAGAAAAGCAGCAGTATGTGCTCACACTCATAAAAGTCACATGCACATGCACAGATAGACGTACGCACGTAGGGCTAAGCTTGGAGATGACTACCACATGCTGTTTCACATTTCCTGACCTATCCTCAAAGCTTTTCTCAATATACCATCATCCTCTGGCTACAGAGCTCAGCCTCACTTCAACTCAAAGCCCCTCTGGTTCGTGTGTATCTCACCATCTATCATCCTCTATCATTCTCCATTTCTCTTTCATTTTCACCTCAGCGTTCACCATTTTTCATTTGAATGAAAACCCTTTCTATCGTCCTTTTCTGCCTGTTGTACTCCTGCTCTTCCTCTTCCCGATACAAATTAGTTAGTAATTAAAACACTCACGGTCAATTGGGTCCATTATTGCACAGTATGCCACACCTAAGTAGGAGGAAAAGGAAGAAAAAAAAACTTGCACAGGCTTGTGCGTACATACACACACACACACACACACACACACACATCCACCCACTGCTGTGGCCACAATCAGGATGCAGATCGTCATTATGAATTATGGCCCTTTTTATGGCCTTTTACAGCATCAGAGAACAATCTAAGGCATTTACAAGCAACCACAAATCTACACGGCTATTCACATACATATACATGCATGCAAGCTTTTTTATTGCAATCATGCAGCCTACAGCGCTGCAGTGTCCAGGTGTTTCCAGGCCCCTGCAGCTGTTGACAGGAAAAAGATCTGTCCATCAGCGGGCGGTGGAATCCAAGCAGGCAGCAGCAGCCAGCCGCAGGATCAGAGGTCGCATGTTTGATGTCACTTCCAGAGTAGAGGTCACAACTCTACTGAGGCCTCGCACTGCCGGGGGTTACACCCCGACACACACCAACCATTAAGATGAATGTTAACTTGAGAGCTAGTGGGTCTTAGTTGCTACTGTAAAGTGATCAAGACAGCAAACTTGCACACATGGCCTTGGTTTGGAGGATCAAGTATAATCTTAAACACACAGCATTCTCATTCTCTCTAAAATACACACAGACCCGCACACAGATGTACATACAAAGTCAACCTGAACACTTGTGTATGCAGTACAGTTGGAGACAGACAAACTCTGACTGGTAAGCCAGACAGCCTGAGGGAATGAGCACAACACTGACGGTGGTGGGGATTTAAGCGGCTGATTAGAAGCAGTTCTTTGGCTGTTCCATTTCTTTCTGTGATAAATGCAGCATTTAGAGCAATTAAGCCAATGATTCCTAAACATCAACCTTTGAACCTCCCAATATTTCCTCATTAGTCACAGAGGTGTGTTTTTCCTCTTTCTCCTTTCTCGGGAAGGCTGCAAATATCACCTTAAGACCTGATAAACACACTGGATCGCAATAAAAATACAACCAAAAAGTGTAAAATGACGCCACACATTCACACAGAAACATGCTATGTACGTAAATGCACATACAGTAACAAAATGCCTAAAACGAGCCCTTGTTGAGCAATGTTTATTTTCCTCTTTCCCCCCTGTGTGTGATTTTTATGGGTGTTAAGACTGCCATGGAGAGGAGAGGGAGAACAGAGCAGAACAGAACAGACGGGCTTTACATTATTATGAAGCAATGTACGACGCAAAAAAGTTCATAAGGATTATTTTTCATACGATCCCTGTTGTATGTTAGAAAGAGGCAGTATGTTTGAATCATACAGAATCTCATGTTCAAGCGAATCATTGTAGAGGAGAAAAGCCAGAATTCCAATAACACACTTTTGTAATTAGACGACACAGAATGAATAAAGATGCACTTTTACCACTACAAGCATCCGCTGAACAAAAGCCATAGAAATGAATGTTGACTATATTATAGGCAATCTCTAAACCATAATGAATGCTACATTGATCTGTAAAAAAGGGTTTATCAGGAAGTAGAAGGAAAGTGAGGACAATCAGAGTTGTCACTACAAAAAGAGCAAGATTTTCTTTTTTTTCCAAAAACACAAGAAAATTCAATCATATTAACTGAAAGAACAAATCTATCCATTACCACCCAAGTTCAGGTTTATCGTAATGGAAAATAATCTGCATGTCATCAATGGCCAACACAGACAGCAAAAGCAAAAAAAAAAAAAAAAAGCAGATATACAGTGCCCTGAGACAGAAGACCACATGTTTTTCCATTGAGATTGGACAGATAAAGCGCTCAAGGCTGGTGTAAATTATCTGGGTCCACAAGACGGGCTGCACTTTAAACCTTGGTTTTCCTTCCCTACTAAGGATCAATCTTTCTCACCCCTCTGAATCACTCGGTTTCTCCTGCAGCCAATCTGCACTGTCTTCATTATAGTGGGAGTGACTGGCATATAAATTGTAAATTTATGGTATATGAAGAGTTTCGGTTGTCCGTGGAAAGTTTGTGCCTCTTGAAGATTTAGCACCAACTGCTCAGGACTCAACTGGCCTTCTCATAGACAACTTGAGCTGAAGTATGGACCCTCACACCACACACGCGCACAGAGAGAGAGAGAGAGAGAGAGAGAGAGAGAGAGAGAGAGAGAGAAAGAGACAGAAGAGAGAGAGAGAGAGAGAGAAATAGAGAGCGAGAGAGAGAGAGAGAGAGAGAGAGATCTACAAGTGCACACACACACATTGGCAGTGTAACTTGATCCTCTCTGTATCAACCATTCCACAAGAGCGCTAACAAGCAAAACGGGTAAAAACACCGCTGACAAACTTGCAATTTTTTCTCACCACCATGTGTAGATGTCTTTGAGCACAGCCTGAATGTAATGTCCACATACACAGAGACAGTGATACTGCCAGCTCTGTTGACAAACTCACAGCTCACATGGTAAGCAGCACTGAAGCCAAACTCCCATGGCATCTGTGATATCTATAGAGCGTCAGTCCCTGAAGGAGAGTCCTCTTTAGCTCGTATTCTCGAGTAACTGAATCAAGCTGTTCTCAGTGCACTTACAAAGCACGCAGACTGAAAAAGACTTCATGTTGTAGCGTGCTTTAGAAACTCTTAATTAGACTAAATACAGAATTAATACTTGAATGAAAACAGGCACTATATCTTTAACAGTCCTCCTGTCAATCTGTGTTGAGGTTTTTCTGAGTATGGATCTTTGTTTCTTTGTCTGTGTGTGTGTGTGTGTGTGTGTGTGGGTGTCTAACCTTTGAGGATGACCTCCAGTTCATCTCGTAAGATGTCAAAGGTGCTGTATCTAGAGCTTGTCTCTGGGATGATGTTCTTTTTAAGCCAGCCTCCGCAGGCATACTGGTAGAAGTTGTCACAAGGGTCCACAGTAGCATCCATGTTCTCAATGAGACGAGACGCTGCACGGACAGAGAGGAAACAAGCTCAGAGACACGGAGAAAATCCTCACCTGAAGAAACTACAATATACTGCTGGATAGAGGAATATGATGTCAAATCGACCAAAACAAATAATATGATTCATGATTTCCTAAAAGAAAAATAGCTGGTATTTGGCTGATAAGATTTTTCCAAGAAAGGCCTATTTAATTTGATACTAATTATAAGGAGAATGTAATGTGTGTGTGTTACAGTGTTACAGCTATTAATTACCAGCTTGTTGTGTTCACGTTTTTAAGAAAAAAAAAATGTAGTTGTTAAGTGAAAATAGTTAATAAACAGACGTTTCTTTGAAAGGCTAACGAGAATGATGAATTCTTTATTCATTTATCTATTATAATATTATCTATAATTCTTTATCTGTTCTAAAATATGCTACATTTAGTCGCTCTATTTTACAGGTCCAGTCTGTGGAATTTAGGTAGAACTATATTTGTAAGTATAAATGCTGATTCAGTAAAATTTTACCAAAAACCTTAGTAGTGTGATATTATGCAGGTGAATTGTTCTCTAACCAGGTCTATGGACAACTACCCAGCCTGTTAAACAAGTGTATAAGGAGATCACAGATGCCTTACATTTCACCCTTTAATAGGTTGACATTTTGGGAAATGTCAAACTTTGCTTTCCTACCGAGAGTTAGACAAGAAGAATAATGAACTCGCACGTGCGTCCGTTCAATATAAGACTACAGCCAGCAGCTGTTTAGCTTGGCTTAGGATAAAGACTGTAAGCAGGGGGAAACAGCTAGCCTTGCTCTGCCCAAAGAAAACAAAATCCACCTCCCAGCACCTCTAAAAGCTCATTAAACTCTCTTTTTATATTAATAACTATGCACAAAAACCAAAGTGTAAAACTGACACGTGGTATTACGCCAAGTTATGTGCTGGACTATTTCTTGGCCAACTGCAGTCTTGTCATCATTTTGACATTTCCAGGGATCCAACAGGGACTGCTAGGTGGATTTTGTTACCTTTGGACAGAGCCAAGCTAGCTGCTTCCCCTTGTATCCATTTTACTCTCAGCTAAGCTAACCGGCTGCTGGCTGAAACCCTAATACGAATGGACAGATATAAGAATGGAGTTGATCTTCTCACCTAACTATTAGCAAGAAAGCAAATAACCTTCCAAACATACAGAAAATGTTGAACTATCCCTTTACAAACATGTAGGCTGAACAGAGCAGAGGAAAAAAGTAAGGGCTCCTTTGACAGGTTGTCAAACTGGACAGAAGCACAGTTGACAGACCACCTTAAGCCTCGGATGTTGGCCAAAACGTTTCAAGCTCTTCTAGTAGAAAGAAATCACATTTAAAAAACCTCTAATGTACCATTTTCAAAAATTGCTCCTTTTAATTAACAGTTCATTATAGGGATATCTTATATAGACCTGTGAAAAAAATCTTAATATGTAGCCATTTGCAAAAGTAGAACAGAATAATGGCTGTAATTGTTTTCAGTCCAGCACCAGTAATGGAAAAGTGTTCACTTTTTTGAGCTGCAAACAAATTACATGAGGCAGCTGAGAGATGTCTTGTGACAAGGCTGTCTGTCAAATCTGACTGAAATGGGGCATTGGCTCCCCAAAAATGCGCCGCAAATGTTGTGGGAAACGAGAGGTACAGTTATAAATCCATAGTTTATTATGTCTGTTTTTTGTTTTGTTTTTTCATTGAAAATAAACTGTTGTCCTTTTTTGTCTGCTCTTTACTGAAGTGAGAAAATAAAGTAATCAAATCTAATGTTATATTGAAAAGGCTGGAGAGAAGGGGGGCGTCTATTTGCATAAAAATTTAATTAAAAAATGTTAGGCCACTGGTCTATATCAGTTACATAGCGAGGGACTTTGAAATTATCCAAAAATAGAGTTTGGGTCTCAGCTCCTTACTGCAGTAATGTGGTCAAGGACCATTTACAGTTAAGTTATAAAAACTCCATGTTGAATTACCTCAGTTTGTGACACACATACACTATATCCTAATTTGCTTAAGCAGTATATACATGCTTATACCCGTTCTCAGTTTTCCATCTTTTCTTATATATTTATTCAAAGGGGATTGAGGGACAATAAGTCCAAGTCTGCTGATCAGGACTGTTTCTGTTTGTTCGATCACTGTTGTGACTTAAAGGAAACATATTCACAGCTTTAGTGGCCTTCTTCTCCACGTATGTGCGAAATCCCCGGGCTTATGTGGCAGTCTCAATTTTTCTCATTCTGTCCTCCTCTGAGAAAAATCAAAGCCTTCAGAATGAGACAGTGAAAAGGACACACAAACAAACAAACACAGGATGCTTACCTGACTGTGTGCAATCAGCTGTGGTGCAGATTTCATCTACAGGAAAATGCAAAACAAATCATTACTCCGTGGGATCTGTGCAGTCATCACTCATTATATCAAATGATATTCTCTCCCTCCTCTTCCCCTTTTCATTTATTTCGTTTCATCTCTTTGTCATCCTTATCACACATTAAACCCTAAACTACTTAGAAGTGTTGCTTTCACTCTGTCGGGGATAATTTAGAGGTTAAACTGTTAATCAAACTGAATCTGACATGTAACCTTAAATACACTTCATGCGTTACGTGTGGACGCACATGATGTGCACATGGGTCAGTGCACTCACAGGTGCAAACGCAGACAAAGTCATTAAACTTCCCCATTTCCCTGACATGGCAGATTACACATTCATCGAGCACAAGACTGCAAAACAGAATCATAGCTCGACAAACACACATGTATGCTGCACATGCCAGCATAACCTGTTTTATGTGTCTCAAACGTAGACTGATTTTTGTTTTCTTGACCTGCTGACTTTCACACTTGTTCCATTTGTCAATAATTAATCAATAGGTCTATGGTTCAGTTTATTATCAGTGTTAATCTGATAATATTAAAGACCTTGTACAATTACACTGTGATCAATTGCCCTTGGATGTACTTTTGATTAATATAACTCATAATATTATGTAACACAAACCTTGTGTCATCTGTAAGTACAAGTGTAATAAGTTTGATATCTAAGTAGAAAAAGCAAGCAAAGCAACAGTCAGCACATTAATGATTAGAAAACTCATGTAAAACTTAATACTGTGATATTGATCGGAAGCAGGTTCGATAGGTTTCCCATGGCGAGGAAATGGAGGGGTTCAATTTCACTGTGTCAGTGTTAAATGATCCATTCCTCATAACATGAATTGATGCCATTCACAGCAAAATAACTGTTGCACAGTTCTTCATAATTTACACAAATGTCTGAACTGTGAAGTAGCATGACAGTTTTGAGCTGTGTTTGAGTGTTGTGTAAAAATCCCTGACAACACAAAGGAAACTGCATAAGACCTTTGCACGCTGCATTCTTCTTTCTGGCTCAGTGACTGTACTTTTGCACTATGCTTTAAAAGCACCCAACTCAAGTGTTTTCTGTTCACCTGCTCCTCAGCATGCTGCTTCGTGCTCACCATTAACCATGAATTCAGCTGGAAGTGATGGCCAGTGCACGTGCACCGTTTAAAGCAGGCAATCTTCAAACGCTCTGAAAGGTTCACTTAATATTGAGGAGACAAGAAAAACTGTCCTCAAGGCTGAGTCGCCCCAAAAAGTTTTTTAATTACATGACATACTTGTTTTGAACTAGCTGGTTTTTACCAAACCCTCATTAACATGAACCTGATAAAGATTTAAAAGAACATTTTCAAGACGCGCTTTAAGGTTTCAGATACTTCTCACTTTCCATTATCCGTCCTCAGACTCAGCACTCACCGGTCTTCTGTGTGGCAAACAGGATGATGAGGGCCACGATGACGATGAAGAGCAAGGAGACGATAGTGATGAGGCCGATCTCCAGGGAGGTCCAGCGCGGCTTCTTAGCCGACTTGGGGGGGTTGGTCTCTGTCATTCTCAGGTCTCCTCTTTCTGCTGCCGGCTGAATCAACTCACCTGAGGAGAGAGGGGGAACCACAGAAGAAGAGCTGTTGTGACTGGTGGACTGACAGGAATTTAATCGGCAACAATTCTGATAATAAATTGTCATTTATCAAACAAACATGGGAAACATTTGTTGTTTTCAGATTCTTATGTATGAGGATGTGCTGCATCGTTTTCTATATTTTACATCATTGTAAACTGAATAATTTGTTGGTTCGACAAAGCAAGCGATTTGAAGATTTTACTTTGGGCTCTTAGAAATTGTGGTGGGCATTTATCACTATTAAATTGGCAAAATGATTGATAATGAAAATAATAAAGAGCTGCTGCCCAAAACAACTGAAAAGAAAGGGACTTAAAAATGAACTAAAGAATCTAAAGAATTTGTACATTTTACATTCGTCCACACATATATCTGTAAGACGTACATTCTCATTGTGTCAACATCATTTAAAAATCCATTTCTGATAATCAGTTAATCTCGCCAAACACTTGCTGGTCGCAGCTTCTCAAATGTGAGGATTTTGGCATTTTAGCAACATATGATTTTCAATCAAAACATTTGATGATATGACATTTTGACATTAATAAAACAAACATTCTGTTAAGTCTGCAGATTTTTTAACAAGCGCTGAGGAAAGCAAATAAAGAGAGGAAGGGAAATAAAAGACATGTGGCAGTGATAAGAAAACAAATGAGAAAAAAAGACAAACATGTTTTGCTTGGAGCAAAAGGTGAGAACAATGGAAGTTCTTACCCTCTAGTGGCAGTACACTCCAGACAAAAAAAAAAACAAAACAAGAAACGCACACTTCTGAAGAACAGAAAACAGGAGAGACCTTTCCTCTGCTCCTCACTAAACACTGTTGTTTTCCTCTCTGGGGCCAAGCGAGAACTTTACAAAGTTCATGTAACAAGCAGTTAAGTCTATCTCTGAAGGCAATTAATCTTTAATCCCTTACCGACGTCACACATATAGTCACTGCACACAAACATGCACATACACATTCATCCACAGCAATGCTCTGTCCCACACTTCTACAAGCTGGTGTCATGAGGCGACTGTGTAGATGGGTGGGTTTCTCTCTCTGTCAAGCTGAGATGAGAGCACCGCACGACCAAAGGACAAAGTCTCTTAGCTTCCTTTGAACGAGCAGACAGCCACAGACACATACACACACATACATACACACACACACACACACACACACACACACACGCTACCTGCTGTACACACACGTCCACAGGTATCACACATCAACCACGCACAGTCCTGCTGAATGTCAGATCCCCTGTCATTCCTCTTTATGACAAAACAATAGCCCGATGTAAAGTAAACTCTCCTGGTAATAGTTATTATCCAGCCTGATAATTGGCCATTATGATACACACCAGCCCACAACTCCCTACAGGCTGCTCTCCATACTCCACACCAGCACTAAAGCATGCATGACTTCACCATGGGTCATAAGATTTACTATAGGAGAGTGGTGACCGGATGTGAGGTCATAAAGGCAACTGAAAGTATGGGACGGCGATGAGGGATTGAAGGCATAAAACAGGCAATGAGGCGGTGTAATGACACAACTTGATAGTGTATGTTAATCAGAACTTCCTGTCAAGCTGTGTCTGGCTGTGGGAGGGGGGGGCAAGAAACTTTGCATCAACTTTTCCATTTTTTTGTCTGCAGGCAAACACATCACAGTGACAGCGAGTCCCACGGCTCTAATAAAACCATGTGTGCATGTCAGCGTTGGAGAGGCTGTATATTACATTCATTCGCTCTAATCCTGACACGGTGCATGCCAAGAAATGGAACGCCTGCGAAAATTTATTTAAAAGGAAAAGGGACATAGAGACCGAGTGGAGGAATGTGCAAAAGCGAGTGACAAAGTGAGGGAGGGGGAGGAAAGCTGTAAAAACAGAGTGGGACACTGAGAGGTCCTAAATCACGTTTAAATGACTTCCTCTCAGTGTGCTGAGGCATGTAAGGTATGACTTTGCTACTGTATGTCCATCTTATGCATCACTCTTGCTTACTGTTGTTTCTTTACATAACTCATAATGAAACAGGAATTGTACAAATATAATTATCACCCATTAACATCACCTCTAGCTCCATTACAAAACCCGTTGGTGTAGGATGTGCTTGATGTCTTTAAAGATGTGTGCTCTTGGGGGAAAGGAAGGCCTAACATGAGTTATTTGTAAGGTGAGCTGCAGTTTCTGTTGCTGATGTTACCGCCTCTGTTGCAGGATGCAGTGACTTTTTTTTTCTTTTCTTTTTTTTCTTGCACTTTTTATAATGTGGCTCTGATGTTTTTTTTCCTGAGCGCTCTTTGGAAGGTATGTGTGCCGAGGTGTCTGCATTTTTAAGATAATGGTTTATGAAAGGAGTACCAAAAGTCAAAACCCTCTCTTTCTCTTTTTCTCCGCTCTCTGTCTCCATGTCGTGATATATCTAAAACATAAACAGTCCACATGTCTTGTGAGACCTCACAACCCCCCTCGAAATTAAACCCATCATTCACTGTGACACCTGAAAACACCCATGTGCCTGCACACACACACACACACACACACACACACACACACAAATCAACATGGGACTACTTGCACAGTCACTTCTTTTACATCCATGTGAGCCATGAACATGTCACGTTTACTAATTGAGTTTGAATAAGTACAGGAATGTGCCCTACTTTAACTTAAAATAACACCTTCTCTGGGATATCATTTTCAGCACTGGGCCTATGGCTGCACACTGAAGACTAAAATCATTTTAAAACCATTTTTGAGAGAGGAGACTAGATACCCAAGGGTGCTGTGATCTAGCTGAAATGAAGCCCACCTCTTAAATTGCTTTCCTAATGTTTTTTTCTGATAGGAGTGTAATAGGAAAAATAACTTTTAAAGGAATATAACAACCAAAAGCTAACACATTACCAGTGCCAACACAACTGAAATAGGCTATAGTGAATCAAAGTAAGCTCATGGGATACCCAGCAGGAATATCATGACAGAGGATTAAAGTGTTTTCTGATAGGCCGAAATGCATCTTGCTTTTAAAACTCCACTGACACAAATATTAACCTGCGGCACACGGTGCGGTGATTCGCAACCGAGCAAGTCGCAGCTAAATGCGTGCCTGCTCCTCGTATCCTGTTGCACGTCGGGAACTCCAAGGAGGGGTGGCATGATCAACTGGTGCACGCTGCCCCGTGTCACCCAGCCGGCACGCGCGTACATGCACACTCAAAAATAACGCGCGCGCGCACAAACACACACACACACACACACACATGCACGCACACAGGCAGAGACGCACACAGATGGCACCGCGTTATAAGAAGCGCTCCGGGTGCGTGAGCGACTTACCAGGTGTGTCGGGAAATTTTCGGTCGATGATATATATGGGCATCACATCCACTGATCAAATATCCATCAAATCCACAAAGGGAGCGCGAACTGCTGATCGATCAGTTACAGACGATCTATTTGCTTCACCCTGGATTTCAACAAGGCACAAACCGATCCCGCCTCTCTTCTTCTCCTTCTTCTTCCTTTGGCTTTCTATTCTAGGAGTGCACATTCACACAAACACTCACACACACGCACACACTCACGCACAGACCCCTTCACTACAACTACCTACTGTACTGTACCACATCTACCCAGAGAGGATCGCTGAATTCAAACGATCCATCAGACTCTTGCGCAGCGCAATCGGTCAAGTATGTGATCCACAGGGGGGAGATCCCATATTTATACAGCCTATGACATATAGTGAGTCATTGAAGTAGCCTTCTGAAGTTCCCCGTGCACCAAGTCGTTGCCTCCTCCGTCAGGGCGGCGTTTAGAAGTGACCCTGTCAGCGGCACTTGCTGTCAGTGGCGCCTAAATAGCTGCAGGGCGCAGGTTCAGGTGAACAGTGTGATGAAGTCATGTAGAATATTTCAGTGTAGCCTACTTAATCATAGGGCTTCTAATCCAGGAAACTACAGCAAAATCCCTATCATATCCCCACCATAAAGAGCACTGTGGTGAGTGAATCTTAGTCACCAACAGCTTTTCAGTGAAATGTACTGCCTAATTGCCTAGGCTACTAAGTACTTTCTGTACCTTAATTACAATAGCATAGTTGCTCTTAATGCTGTGTGTTAAGGGTGCTCACAATGAAGGATTAGTTTGAATTTGTAGAGTGGGGTTCCCTGGAGGTCCCTTGACCCGTCTTGTGGAATTATATTACTCAAAACAAATCAGAAATACAAACCCCCCCAATTGATGCACATGCTGTGTCTGACTGTCAGGTCTCTAGGTGTAAATCATGTGGCTCTGCTGGCTTCAGCAATGTTGGTGCAGTGCTGCGTATTGTCGCACCATCACTATGGAGGGAAGCCAGGGTGTTTGAATAAATTGTCATATGCATAAAATGAAAATAATTATAGGTAAGCATGCAGCTCAGTGTGCTCTTAAATCTCCACTCCAATGTCACCAGGGTTGGTAAGGTTAAGGTTATACAAAATATTAGCTTGTTAATGCAATGTAGATTACACTTGTAGATCACACAGAATGGTGCAGCGTTTGTGGAAGTGGCTTTTTTTTTTGGACATCTGTGTAACAAAGAACTGTTCTTTCAATGTGTGTATTTCAATGAATTGGCGGGGTGTACTTCACACTGAAATATAGCCTAGCTGAAGAAGTGGTTATATCTTACCAAGACATCAGCAAGCATTCAAATTTAGCTCCGCTTTAAACTACAGCTCCCGATTTCTTTTGACCTGCAAATCACAGAGTTCACGCATGCTGGGTTTCGTTTGATGCTGCATACAACTGTTCTCACACAGGAACACACCTCAGCCACTGTTTTGACAGAAACGGCTAACGGCATCACATGTATATAAAATCTAAATGATCAAAGTTCACTTCATTTTCCCTTTTACAGTGGGGCTGAACCAAGCCATTGCCATCGTGTTTCTATAAAGATTAAGGCCTTCCACAGCATCATTTAATGCTTTGGGTTCTTCCCCCTTAAAAGCATCACTGTTACTCCAAACCCCAATTTGCTCATTAGCCTGTGCATTTGTAAAGTATCGTGAAATAGCTCACAATCTAGACTGCATTAAAAAAAAAACCTTTTATTTTGATCCGTTTGTTAGTGTTTGGTTACATGTGGCCTTTAGCTCCTTCTCTCTTTAATGTTAAACACCAAAGTTCACCCCGGGGTCACTTCTGTAAGAGCAGTTAGCTCTGCAAACACATGAGGATGTTGGGTCTAAAAGTGAAAATTAGCATCAAAGTGAGAAGAACGCAAACAGAGTACATCACTGCAGAGAATAAATGACCTAATTTCAGCGGGAACAGGAGATGAGACTACCTGTTGTCATTGTTTCCAGTGACTGATCATAGCCACACAATATGAGTAAGCTGTGGATGCTGATGTCTACTTATGTCATTCATTTTTTCATATGATTATATTATGATGCTCTTTTTTTTATTTTTCCTAAACAACCTTTAACTACACCCGAACCATTTCATACGGCTCTCAGACTTCATTTTTGCGTCATTACTCATTACTGCTCCATTGTCAATTATCTGCTCTAAACTTCAAAGATAAATGCTTGTGCAAGCCTGTTTTAGCGTCACCCCATCATACCGTCCATGTTTCATTGCTTCTGATAACGAACAGCATGATTCCACTTTGAGAAATTTCCGTCTGTGTGTGTATCTTCTGACTATCTGTGAAGCTGAACTGACGGCAGTTTTCTCAGCAGCTGCCCGTCAGTGCATCTAAAAGATGCTCACATTTGCCTGCAGTGCAACCTCTGTGATCATATTTTCCATCATTTTGTTGCTGTGCTCTTCAAATAAAATCCCTTGCCCCTTCTCTGTTGGTCATTTGAGCTCTGTTTGTTGTCAGTAAACCCAGCATGTTATGGACTCCTGGAGAGTATTGGATTTTAATTGTGCTGTGCCCGGGGTGACACACGTATTACACAGTCTTTTGCTGCAAAAAATAGGAGTACGTGTGCAAACACAGACTCAGATGCACATGCACTCTGCATTACTCTTGAGGGCTTGTAGCATTTCTTAATGAAAAGGTGCCAAACGGTTGTACACGCTTACGAACATGCATCAAGTTGCAACATGCACATTACATCAGCGGTGGAATTTATTTCTTATATGAAATATTTCCACCGTTTACGTTAGAAATGATCGTGAGATTGTTGAATGACAGCCTTGTGGTTTAGCTCTCAATTAAGAGCTGACATGAATAATGTGTTCCACAGAAGCAGACGCCATGACTAATAAACAGTTCTGCATTTGGTCCACATATGCTTGTGAATCACACAGAATCACCATAAAATGTGCATTACAGTTTCAAGCTGTTATTCTTTTTTATCAAATGGTAAATTCAGCATGATGTGTTATTGTTAGGTGTGTGTCTTCCCGACAGATGAGATACTGAGGTTCTTTGGTTTGGTTCAAGGTCACTCAGATGAGTTGTTCTCTCAGCACCTCCCCTCAGACAACTGTCAGGGGAGTAACTCTCCTATCCGCAACAGAAGTTCTGTCCAGTTCTGCTCAAAGTCTGCTGTCAGTGCACATAAATACACACATTCACATACAATCTAGCACCCACGCAGACAAGGACTCACATATACTACACACACATTAATAAGCCTCACTGCTGTCACTCAGAGAGAGGGGCTTTCATACTGAAGTCTGTGCCGGTCACAAGTCAGTAAGAAGAGGAACAAGAAAGAGGGAAACGACTAAAAGTGCCAACTTACCTAATATTTCCAGGATAGCAGACAGACAGTTCATTTTTTATTTGCTTTTGTTATCTATGAGGAATTGGATGTTAGGAAATTATGTCTGAGTGTGCCAAGAAAAATGTCCACTGTTTTCCCGGTTTCACAATGACATGGTACTGGCATCACTGCTCTTTGCTGTCACTTCAGCGATTTATGTCACTTACTGTGAAATGCGTGTGATAGAACACGATGAGTGTACACATGCGGAGTAGTTGCAACATTGAGCCCGGATGATCAAATGTTATCATTGTATACATACACACAAACTTGTTTTTGTCGGTTGGTAGGACATTGCTTTCACTTGCATTCATTCCCTTGAGATTTACACTACCTTAACCAAAACCACTACCCAACCATTACCCGAAACAACAACAAGCTTTAATCATTGTATTTAAGGGTTTACCTTTTTTGGGACCAGTGTTTTGTCTCAATGTGGGAAGTGAGTGGGAAGAGTATTTGGCTTTTTGTCCTTGCAACATGATTAAGACATTTGCTCTCACAGACACTGACACATCTATACTGTTTTTTTTTTTTTCTGTAATTCATTATTTGTGCATAGGTTGTTTTTTGTGAGGACATTCTCAAGGACTTTCCATTTTCATTTGAAATGCACAAGTGGAGTTATCAGTTACTATGCCTGTACTCGCTTTGCCATAGTGATCTGGTATCCGAAGGAATCTGCTGATGTGGAGAGGAATGACAAGTGACACAGATAGCCTGTTCAAAGAGCCTCACATGAAGATCAGATAAACTCATATTCCTATATTAACTGTAATTCTGCTCTGAAAAACATTCTGGCAGACATGTTTTGAGGAACACTAAACACAAAAGTGGTTGGTAGTGCTATGGCCTTGTCCTGTTCATTGTCTAGTATCACACAGTATAATTCTCTTGAATTCATTATTTTTCTCTTCACTGCCTTCTCCTTTAATCCTCTCCTTTTACCAGTGCAGGCTGACTTCATTTAGATTCCAAGGGCGATACTATATAATTGCATTTGTTGTATTTGTTTATAATCGTTCAGCATAAAGTGTTCATGTCGTTTGTATCCAATTCAGGCAGTCACACAGTATACACAATATATATGTACACAATCCTGTTCCGATGAATGAGAGGGCTGCGTTTATTCATGCAGGGCTAGTGTCGGAATGAATGCGGCCCAACAATTTTATGTAGTGATAATATCTCTGTGTTGTCCTGCTGCCCCCAAGTGGACAAAAACCCTATTAATGCAACTTTATAGCCCTTTATAGCTCCCAGTGGTTCTACTAAAAATGATTCTGAAGCAGACAGCAGTGCGTGCGCCTATCCTTTAGCCCCCACATGGATCCAGCCTGTAATGTTTTCACCACGATTGTCAAATTTTTCTACAAATGAAAACTTACCCCAGAGCAATAACTTTAAAGATACGAAACAACAACATTTAGTGGCTATAGTGGCTAGTGTATTTCTTTTTTAAAATGGGAAGTACCTCACGGACGTGGCCTGTTCAAACTCATTCACGTTCAGAAGGCTGCACGCTCTCCACAAGGGGAGCTGTTTTGTCAGACCACTTCCTCACATGTCGATAATCCCAGGCTGTTACTTCTTTTGCTGACACAGATTTGACTGAAATTGCCGCTCTCTAGTTGGATGATATCGGGTGGTCAGGTGCTTCACATCAATGACAGTGTGTGTCCTTGTTCACTCCATGTCTCACTTTCACACACACACACACACACACATACTAACATCCACAGACATGCACGCCCATACACACACATACTTGCACATACTCACACACATACCCCTGTCTCTCCAAAGACTCTCATGTGCTGACAACTGGAGGTCAAGCAGGTCAAGTTGATTGCTGATACAAAAGCTTTGAAGTCAGACTTAGTGTGATAATTTGCCCTGGTCCGTCCTGTACCAGGGACAAGGCCGCTCTGCTGTGAAG